ACGAATTATGATTTCGTTGTTCATTTATCAGTTGCAACTGATTTCATGTACCTCATCTACATATCTCAGCTTGTTAATTTCTTTTTTTTACTCGTCGATTTGATCCAAATATGTATTTACTCCCATCCTAAGTTTGATGTTACAATTAAAACACTATCAATAGGACATTCATTCTTGACCGAAAGTAGATGATTATTCTTTATGTTAATGAAAATTGATTAGGAGGGATATTCTATGATTCTTTCGACTCTAAAAATATTTAAGATTGTTTCAAAATCAATATTCTTACATGTTTGGTGCAAAATTATTGATTTTCAAAATATTGATTACTGCTTTTTTTATTATATATGTAATAAATATAGGCGTTGACAGGTCAATAATATTATTAATTATTTTTAATTTATTAGTAATCTAATCGCTTCACATTAATTCAATGAAAATATCATACTTTTATTGAATTTAGTTTATATAATTGTTATAATATATACATATATCTGACTATTGTCTCAGACTATGATGCAATCAGAAAAGGGGTCAAATCCTACGGGGAGCATTGTTCCCCTCAGTGTTATGTATATATGTATACGGCTTGATGATGAGCGTTAGCCATCACGAAACATTAGTCCTTTGTTTCCTGTTGACTAGTGTCCCCAACCGTATCTGCTACCTTGACGTGGTGGTCGGGCTTAACTATCCTGATGACCCAACTTCTGTTGAATTCATTTTATACAATTCTTAAAATATAATCTATATATATCTTGTGGTGCGCGCTACTTATAAGTAGTATATGACGCGAGTGTAAACGTAATGTCTGGCAGCAGAAGATGGCGGAAGATCAAGAAAAGAAGAGTGAGAACACAATGGAATTTGTATGAAACGCATGAATAAGTGAAATGTCAAACAATGGATTGATAACGGATTGAAGATGTGCAAATTAACGATTTACGATATGGTTTTCCAAATTTTACTGAGTAACTCTGTAATTTTCATTAAATACAATTCGGTTGCCCTCACCTGTGTTCTCCTTCACTACAATTTGATTATTGAAAAAAATTAAGCTGATCTCTGTATATAACTCATACATATTAACGATATCTTAAGGCAACTTTGTAACAAAAAAATGTTCATAAATTGTATTAGCATAAAAAAATTATTGTTTATTGACAATGAAGAAGAATATTATGTCATACATGTACAATATTCAACAAAGGATTTCTACTTTATTTGTTTGTATTTAGTTGGCAATTGATACATTGTAAATAGATTGACACATTTCATAGTTCGTTTGTTTTGATCGACTAAAACCCCTACTTATAAGTGAATAAATCAATAAGGTTAGGTGTTCGTTCGCAAGACCGAAGGTTCTGGGTTCGAATCCTTCGAGATGCAGGAGTCATGGATGCGCACTGCCACTGATGAGTCCCATATCAGGATGAAACGGCCGTCTTTCAGTGCTTCCAGTTTTGCAATTGTGGTCTAACAATGATTGATTAATGATTTCAAATCAATAAGTAAAATGAAATTGATTTCTAGGCAGTGATTTTTAGAGATTAAGGGGATTTTACATTAAGAATGAATGAAAGATCTGCTTGTGAATTGTTTTGTATTATGAATTAAAATGAACTAGCTAACGGATGGTAAAGATATAGGATTGAAAATTACGTTTATTTACATTTTATTTTAGCGAGTTGAAATGGAGTTCAACCCTGTGTCGGGTGTAGGCAGTAACTACTACCAAAGACAAATGGGTGAGGTCGCGCAAAATCCCTAGATCAATCAGAGTTAGACATTAACACCGTTGGATGCCGCCGGCCCAGTGGTCCGATGGTTAGGCGTTCGCGCACAATACCGAAGGTCCCATGTTCGAATCGTGCGAGGTGCAGGAGTCGTGGATGCGCACTGCTACTGATGAGTAGTCCCATACCAGGACGAAACGGCCATCGTCCAGTGCTTCCAGGTTTCTAATGCTGGTCATCTAACAATGATTGATTGATGATTTCAAATGTGTAAAAAAAAAGCTAAAATATAGTTAAGCCTATAACCTTTAAGTGTTTATACTGAATACCATATTATTATCTTGAATAGGTGAATAAATGAATATTTTTATTTTCAGTGTTTAATCCCATATTAAGCATGAAATGTAACAAAAATCAGATGTTTATATTTGATTGGTTCCTTTATACAGCTAAATGAATTAATTTTACACTACTTAATGATTTTTTAGTAATCAATATTACTCTGTTTGTTTTTCATTGCTCATGAAATCTATCAATCAATGTGTAGTGTATTCATTTATCTCAGTGTATCAACATAATGGTATGATTTTTTATGATCTTAGGTAGAATGAAGCAATCATAGACATAGGTTTCCTGTTAATCGAGAAGTGTCAACATGGTCAGTCTGCAACTCTGAGGACAAATAGTTTAATTGTATTTTTGACAACCTAATATATTTCTCAAGTTGAATAAATTTGTGTGGTTATATTGAAAAAATCAATAATTTAGTATAGTTAGTGGTTAACTTATTCTCATGGGTGATAATAAAGATGTACTACTGTGGTGTGTGCTACTTATACGAACGATATAAGTAGTATAAGAAGGGACGTGAAAGAAGTAGTCTCACGGTCAAAAGAGGAAAACGGAAAGCAAATGGAGCAAAAGCAAGAAGTAAATGGAGTACCAACAGGAAGGAAAGGAAGCAACAGCAGGAATGGAATAAGGATGGAGCGTTGGAAGTCACGACTCAAAGATGGTGTGCAAATAGAGTGTTCAATGTAATGTTTTCGCTTTTAATTGATTAAGAGTGTAAATTTGCATAATACAATCTTCCGCGCCTGCCTCAGTCTTCTCACTACTATTATTGTTGGAGATTTTAGATCCCCAGAACTCGCTTGATAAATATCTTTATTTCGGTTTTATTTCATGGACCGATCAGTTGACGTTGAGATCACATTTCCCACATAGGAAAATCCTTGCCTGTGATTGGTTACTGTGTCATTTTAGTATGCTATTTTTGTGACTCTCCCAAGGACGTCTCTATAGAGTATAAATAAATGCAATTTGAGTGCTTGGATTCATTCATTGTGTGTACTGGCTAGGTGTTTGTAGAATACACTTTCTACACTATATCAAAACTTCTTGCTGGTACAATTTGGTCAAGGGATCAAAGGAGCCTACCTGGACTCTGGTTCAGTGTTTTGTTCTCGTTATTCGACTAAGGTGAACTCGTAATAGTTTAAGCAGCATACCTCTAGAGTCATGCGTAACAATTATCTACAATTAGTAAATAAACAAACAATCCAGTATTGAATAAATTGACTGAAAACAAACAAACAAATATTTGTACATATGTAGTATATCTCTGTATTTTTTATTCATCTACAATAAAAATCATCTACGGAATGTGAATATTTGAAAACAAATGAAGAATAATACTGACAAAAGCATTTGATTAGTTCAAACAAGAGAGTGAAAATATCTATATCTATCTATCTATATATCTATATATAATTGCCAAACAAACAAACAACCTATAATTTGTAATACAATTTCAAAATGTAACAATGTACATATATATATATGGACTTCGCAGATGATCTGGCTCTTCTATCACACACGCAGCAACAAACGCAAGAGAAGACGACCAGTGTAGCAGCAGCCTCAGCTGCAGTTGACCTCAACATACATAAAGGAAAAAGCGAAATTCTTCGTTGCAATACAACATACACCAACCAAATCACTCTGGATGGAGATGCCTTGGAGGACGTTACCACATTTACATATCTTCGCAGCATCATCGACAAAGAAGGTGGATCCGATGCAGATGTGAGGGCGTGGATTGGCAAAGCAAGGGCTGCATTTCTACAGTTGAAAAATATCTGGAACTCCAAACAACTTTCAACCAAAACCAAAATCAGGATTTTCAATACAAATGTGAAGACAGTTCTACTGTATGGAGAGGAAACTTTCAGAACTACTAAAGCCATCATCCAGAAGATACAAGTATTTATTAACAGATGTCTTCACAAAATACTTCGTATTCGTTGACCAGACACCATCAGCAACAACGTATTATGGGAGAGAACAAACCAGATCCCACTGGAGTTGGAAATCTGGAAGAAGCGATGGAAGTGGATAGGACACACATTGCGGAAAGCACCTAACTGCGTCACAAGACCAAGCCCTCACTTGGAACCCTCAAGGTAAAAGGAAAAGAGGAAGGCCAAGGAATACATTACGCCGAGAAATAGAGAAAGATATGAGAGGAATGAACAAACATTGGACAGAACTGGAAAGGGAATCCGAGGACAAAGTTGGTTGGAGGAAACTGGTGGGCGGCCTTTGCTCTCTCTCTATATATATATATATATATATATATATATATATCTTCATATAGCCACTGGAGTAAATTCTATCTGCTATCTAATCACATTGGACATAAAACTAGAAAAGAAGAATATTTATTCTTCTTCTTGTTCTTCTTAATAAATATTGAATGAAAAGTAATTTTCATACAAAAAAAAATTATTACGTACAATGCTTTTTTTTTTGTTTAATAGAAATAATAAAATGAAATAATTAATTATATTATGTATAAACGAAAAAATCGATTGATTGCTTCTGTTCAAAATGTATAGACGTATATTATGATTATGATGATGTATTATAAATGTACTTTGTTGTGAATATTTAAATTTTTTTTAGAAAAAAAAATGTCGATCAGATTATTATATGCATGTACTTAACACTCTGATGTAGTAGTAGTATATATGTTATGTGTGTTTGTGTGTGTGTGAATATGAATACGCATGTTTCAAACATTCGTTTTTTTTTGGTATGTTGTGAGTACACATCAATATTTAGGATTAATATTAATATTAAAAAATAATAATAATTAATATTTTTTTTGTATTAATCAGTTAATTGAAATATTACAATATTACATAAAAGTGCAACTAAACGAATAAATAACCAATTATAATAGTAGTAGTAGTAACAGTAGTAGTACTACTAGTAGTAGTAGTATCTTTCAAAAACAAAATTCTAAGCAATGATTATTTTATTCAACATTCTAACTATCATAAATGTATCATTATGTAAGTTTGAAATATTTTTTGTAGTATAAAAATTAAATAATAAATAAATAATATGTTTAATGTTATTTTTCACATCGGTATGTGTGTGTGTGTGTGTGTGTAAGTGTACTCTTGAGATATGTATGTTATAGTTGAAACAAATCACTATTCACCACAATACATGATGATTCTTAATGATTTCTTATTTTTGTGATTTTGTAATGTATCCCCTCAAAAAAAAATTGATAACTATTTATACTCATCAGTGGCAGTGCGTATTCACGACCCTTGCACCTAGCAGGATTCGGTGCTACCTGGGACCTTCGGTATTGTGCGCGAATGCCTAACCATTGGTCCACTGAGGCCGGAATCCAACGGTGTTAATGTCTAACTCTGATTGATCTACGGATTTTGTTTTGCGCTACCTCACCCATTTGTCTTTGGTAGTAGTTACTGCCTACACCCGACAGGGTTGAACTCCATTAGTCACGTCTTCTCACTAGAACTCCGAGAATTTCTTCACGAAGCTAGTCACTAGTGAGCACTGTTACGATATTTTCAGTTAGAGTTTTGGAGGTTTTATGCTTTTGCACATTTGAAATCACCAATCAATCATTGTTAGATCACCAACATTAGAAATTTGGAAGCACTGAAACACGGCCGTTTCGTCCTGGTATTGGACTGACTCATCAGTGGCAGTGCGCATCCACGACTCCTGCATCTCACAGGATTCGAACCCGGGACCTTTGGTATCGTGCGCGAACGCCTAACCATCGGACCACTGGGCCGGCGGCATCCAACGGTGTTAATGCCTAACTCTGATTGATCTACAGATTTTTCAAATGTGTAAAAACACAAAACCTCTAAAACACTGCCCGAAAATTATTTCATAAGTTTATAGAATAAAAGCGAGTAATGAAATTTGTAACAACACAACATCAGAGTTTTATTTAGAATGATAAATTGATTAATATGATTTTACTTTAAAATTAATATTTTACCAGTTATGATGTATTTAATAAAACAGTCAATACCTTCACTAATCTATTCATTAACCAATATTATTAATGATGATAAGCAAAACCATTGAAAATGTTTTAAATCCTCTTGTTAAACAATGAATTGAACATTGATCAAAATATTTATTAAGACAATTTGAGTTTTATGCATTGGATTTTTATCTACATTCATTGAAATTTTAGAAAATCGATTTTTCAACATATTACCAACTAGATAGATTAATACATTAAGTTCATAAGATAATGAGCAACAATTTATAGCTCAAATGGCTGTTTCGAAAATACTCCATCATAAACGATGAGTTCACGCTGAAAAGAAATTGTGCAATGATTTTTCAATTCGAAATTAAGAAATTACAAAAAAGATTTAAACAAATTCCAACAGAATAAATAGACAAGTGAATTTCAATATAATGTATAAAATACTTCAGAAGTATCTTAGCTCTTTAAATACATTATCAAGATTATTATTTACTGTCTAAAGTGACATCTTTCATAAGTTCTCGACCTATCAAAAATTTCGTTTCATACCAACTTTAAAAGTAAATATATATATATATATATATATATATATATATATATATATATATGACCTATGTTCACGTCCTTCTTATACTACTTATATCGTTCGTATAAGTAGCACATACCACATAAGTATCGATATGTATGAAAGAATTGAAACCTTTATCAGTTAAACATTACTAGAATATATATATCTATATTAAGTCGAGGTAACAGTAGTAGTAGTATTAGTAGTAGTGTGTGCGAGCTACTTATATGTAGTATATGACGTGAGTGTAAACGTAATGTCTGGCAGCAGAAGATGGGGGAAGATCAAGAAAGGGAGAGTTAGAAAACAATGGAATTTGTAGGAAACGCATGAATAGTGACAATGGATTGATGTTTTGCAACAGGAACAAAAGTCCAGTTCGATATGATGAACTGATATTTTGCAAATGAACAATTTACGATATGGTTTTCCTATTTTACTGAGTAACTCTGTACTTTTCGTTAAATACAATTTGGTTGCCCCACCTGTGTTCTCCTTCACTACAGTAGTAGTAGTAGTAGTAGTAACATTCAAAGAAAATCATGATGATGACAAGCAAGACTAGATCTATTAGCTACAAGCTCGATGTAAAACATTTCTAAAACTCAACAGTTTAATTATAAATTTCAATTTAATAGTTATATAAATACAAATAAACAACTCATGACTAATAGAAACATCCGACAGATTAGTAATTTTCATGCTTTATCCCATTTATTTTTGTTTTCAGTGTCTATTTGACGTCATGACTATAAAATAGTATTGTTATATAGAATAGAGAAATGATTATATATATATATATATATACATTTGTATACCAAACAGGAAGTGTATCCTAAATTATTTGTCGACAAGTACAATGACAGATGATTTGGTATGAATCTTTTCTATAGAAACCTATTTCAATGTACAGTTTTCCTCATGTCATTATTGATTAAGTTGATTCTATGAATCAAATTTAAACTGCATTACTGGGTTGTGAAGATTGTTAAGTTACACATTTCTTCAAACCATGAATCGATCAATGTTAGACCACCATTAGAAACCTGAAAGCACTGGACGGCCGTTTCGTCCTGGAATGGAACCGTTCGATACCGGCTAAGTGGTCCAATGGTTAGGCGTTCGCGCACAAGACCAAAGGTCGTGGGTTCGAATCCTGCGGGGTGCAGGGGTTGTTGATGTGCACTGTTGATGATTCCCACACCAGGACGAAACGGCCGTCCAGTCCTTTCAGGTTTCTAATGGTGCTCTAACATTGATCGATTCATGTTTTCGAAAAATGTGAAATTTAAAAATTAATTCCTGAATAGTGAGAAGGTGTAATTGATCTTCTCACTGTTTATAAAAGCAACTGATTGTTTTAAACTAATTTATGAATAAATAAAAGCGAACTAGTTAGATTATTATTATCATTAATTATAAATTAGTTTACTGATTGTTTTAGTCTTTTTTCTTTGAAACTTTATTGATCATTTCGTTACTTACTTTACTTACTTATTTACTTACGCCTGTTACCCCCAAATGGATCATAGGCTGCCGACCCGTCTTCTCCAACCTACTCTGTTCTGGGGGTTTCTTTTCAAGTTCTTTCCAGTTTTCGTTCATTCTTCTCATGTCTCTCTCCATTCCTCGGAGTAGTATGTTCCTTGGCCTTCCTCTTTTCCTTTGACATTGAGGGTTTTTTGTGAGGGCTTGTCTTGTGATGCATTTAAGTGCTTTTCGCAGTGTGTGTCCTATTCAATTCCACCGCTTTTTCCTGATTTCCCTCTCCAATGGAATCTGGTTTGTTCTCTTCCACAGTAGCATGTTCATGATAGTGTCTGGTCCACGAATCCAAAGTATATTGCGTAAACAACTGTTCATCAATACTTGTATCTTCTGGATGATGGCTTTCGTAGTTCTCCAAGTTTCCGCTTCATACAGTAGAACTGTCTTGACATGTGTATTACAAATCCTTATTTTAGTGTCGGTTGAAAGTTGTTTGGAGTTCCAGATATTTTTCAATAGCAGTGCGCATCCAGAGGTTAGGCTCTCGCGCTCAAGACCGAAGGCCACAAGTTCGAATCCTGTAAGGTGTAGGAGTCGTAGTGTAACAGTGTAAAAACACTAATCTCCATAATTCCAAATCGAAGAAGTATCCATATGTTTTCAATTATATAATTTAGTTGAAGTAAGCTATTCATCATCACATATAGTTATATCTGTATTAATTAATTCTTATTTATCTGAATAATCATTACATTTTAAAAATTAATCGATAGAATTCAGTTAAATGTTCATCATAAATCAACAACAAATCCTTTTGTAATAATGCGATTAATAAATATTTAAAACATAAAGTTTCATTGTCTTATTAAGGAGATATGATGGTGATAAGTATGAATTTTTATTCAAATAATGGAAAGTGTGTAATTAAAAGTTAATTATAAAACGATTTCAAATTATTTAATGGTTATTTTAGTATTTTAAAAATTCTAAATTAATTTTTGTCACTTAAGAAAAAATTGTTATTTAATTAATAGACAAGAGTTAGTTAATGTTGGATGTGTGTAATATAAATGACACTTGAATCACATTATTTGAATTTTGTAATGTAGTTAGGTAGGTGGAAAGAAGAGTCAATAAGGTTGAGAAATTTTGATCTAATTAACAATTAAGCGTACATTGTCAGTCAGTCAGTCAGATGCAACGTAGAACTTCGTACGTAAGTACATCAGTTCATGTTGCCATACCACATCAGCACAGAAATGTAATTGTCAATTCAAATCCAATAGTAGAAGAGGTAGTAAGGGAATTAGGAGTAATCGGAGAGGTTAGGGTTAGAAGATATTATTCAAGAAGTATGATTCAGTGAGAAAAGTTTAGAAAGTCATAACTAGAGGTGTTGAAGAATCCAGAAGATTAGGATTTGAGAGAACACAAAGAATAAATGCACCGGCGCCATTGCAAACGGTTTTGACCATGTCATTCAAGGTCTCTAACCATCGATTATTATCATCTCACGGACCCTAACCAAGTAGTTGACAACTACCGACATGGCTAAGTCCACATGTCAATGACTCCATGGATTTCAGACATGTTTTGGTCTGGCCGCCTCTAGATTTCTTCCAACCTACTCCTACACTACAAAACAAAGTTCGTCGAGGCATTCGGTGGTTAGGCATACGCACCGCATGTCCAAACCACCTCAAATGATGAAGTTTCATTACGTCATCTACTGATCTTCCATTCTTACCTAGCACCCGTTTCCTAATAACAGCCTTACTCACTCGGGTGTCTCAGGATATACGAGCAATGCTTTGAAGACATCTATGATCGAAAACCAATAACCTACGAATATCTTCTACTCAAGCGTACATTGAGTAAAATTTATCTAACTGTATTGAATTTTAACATGATTTTTATTTTTAATCTCAAATTAAACATTGATCACAGTAAAATATTATCAAAATGTACTAAGATTTTTCTGTAAAATAAACCGATTAGATCGATGTAATTCAACTAAGTTTCTAATGCGTATTTTTAGTAAATTATTGATTGAGGATGGTAAATCTGTTTGTTTTATTTCCAAAATAAATTTATCACATATATCTTCAGGTATTATGTAACAGTTTTTAAAATCTGTTTTTTTTTTGTTAATAATAACAAGTCAAATGAATATCTAACTGTTTTGATTAAATAAAGTCACTTATCAAATATGTCTCAAAATTGATAAGCAATTAAAAATGATGTCATTTGGTTAGTTAACAACAGCATAGAATTTGGTATGTACGTAGATCATTTGAAGTTGTCATATCACATTAGTACAGCGATGCAACTGTCAGTGGTAGCAAAAGTATAAGCAGTGATTAGAAAGATTAAGGTTGGAAGATATTATCCAAGAAGTACAATCCAGTGAAATAAATTTAAAAAATGAAGAAAGTTGATGAAGAATTCAAAAGATTAAAATTTGAGAGAACAGTAAAAGTAGGTACACTCAGGCCATGTCATTCATGATCTACAAACACGGATTACTATTGACTCACAGACTCCAACTAGTTAGTCTATACTTACCAATATAGCTCAGTCCACTTGTCAGTGACTTCATGGATTTATGCCATGTTTTGGTTTGGATGACCCTATCTTTCATCCGGCTTACTCCTACATCAGATAACATTGTTCATCGGGGTAGTTGGTGGTTGGGAATACATAACACAATGTCAGAAGACTCTACATTTTGTCAGCATCTTCACCAAACAGAACTATTTCATCCTCATATTGCGTCAACAATCGAGTCTCTTGGTAGAAGGACAGCTCCTGAAAAGTGAGACGATGCAAGTGTCATTTCCAAAAGCATGTCAATGACAAAGTTGAATAGGAATGAAGAGAGAGGAAAGTCGTGACGAACACCACTTGAGGTAATCGATTTCGATGATAGTTCGCTATAAGCTCTCACTCGGCTTGTAGCGTTTGAGTAGAGAACCTGTATAAGGTTAACGTACTTTTTTGATACCTCTTTTAGTGGCAGACACTGCCACAGAACCTCAATATTAACAGAGTCAAATGTCGATTTAAGTTCAAAGAATACGACTATTATCGGACGCCGGAATGTGAGTGTTTGTTCTAGGACCTGTCGCAGTGTGAATATCTAGTCTATACATCCAAATCGAGGTCTGAAACTAACATGGTTTCTCTAGTCTGCACTTCATGAGCTCTAGTTGAGCGTCGAGACCAACAATTCAGACACTAAATTAGTTAAACTGCGATTGTCACAAGAGGACTTTTTTCTCTTCTTATAAATTGGGACAATCAAGGATTGAGACCAAGATCTCAGTCAATCTAACTACTAAAACTGGACTACCATTCCTATAAATTTCGGAGTTTAACCAATCAGGGTTTGCTACTGTCCTTCGCCTTAGAATACATACAGCCTTCTTAGCTTCACTGAGATTCGGAGGATTTGCATGGACTTGCCATTCAGGATGACTGGAGATCGAGGATAATCGTAATGTGGAGGGAGACCAGTTGAACTGCTCCCTAAATTATTCTGTCCATAGACCCAATCTCCAGGTTTGACAGTGAATAATACGCCCATCTTTTTTGGAGATAGTCTCGCTAACAGTCAGAATCCTCATTCCGGTTTCATTGATGGCTCTGAAAAGTTGTATACTGTTTCCGATTGTTGCTGCCTTTTCCATCCTTTTTGCTTTCACTATCCACCACTATTCACGATCATTGCGTAGTTTTCTTATCAACCTGCGCTTAAGCAGAAGTTTAATTTCCCAATAAATGTCCAGATAGTTTCACATCCCAAAACAGATGTCCCTGGAATTCATGGAATGCATCTTAAACCCTGGTTTTGAGTTCCAAATTGCATGCAAGTTGTTTCGGGAATGTAGATTTCGGTTTTCGATCGTTAACTTGCTTTAAATTTTAGGTTTTTTTCTGACTACTCGCAAGTAATAAAGGTTATTTAATGCAAATAATCCCAAAGCCTTTTACCACTTTTATAGGCTACATTAACATTTCAAACTTTTGTACAACAACTATGGTCAGCTCTTTAGGAACAGGTAAACAAGAGGTACATTTTTTTTAGTTAATTGACATAGAATTCTTTCTTCTAAATGATTAAAAATTAGGTTTTCGATACAACTGTTCAGTCTGTCAGGTTTACACGACCATGCACTGATTTTCATTTGGCTTACGATACTTCAGTGGATGGACATATTATTTGTTGATTAGACCGGTTAATATGTGATCCTACACTCTCTTACAATCATTATCATTTTAAAGTAGGTCGAATCGGAATTATTATCCTATCTATAGGTCACAGTTATTATACGAAACTTTGAAAAACATTGCTTCTTTTAGTCTACCCGACCGCACCCGACCAAAGCTGCTACCTTGACGTGGTGGTCAGGCTTGCCTATCAAGATGACCCAACCGAGCTATACTGGCTGCAACATATGTTCCTGAAGGTTCTACCATGCCAGGCAGGTCGACTGGAGAACGATTAGACTAAAAGCAGCTACTCAAGGTCTGAGGGCGAAGTCGTAGAAGGGTGCGACAGCAGTAAGGTGTTTCTTTCGGATAACCAGCATCTGCAGTGATGTTACCATCTCACGAGGAAGGAAGGGTTAGAAAAGTTCTATCCTAAAAATGTCACACCTCACCCTACCTCACGGATTTCCGTCTCCTTGGGTAGGGGTGCCCACTAAGTGCTTTTAAGAGGGGAGCTAATACTAAAAAAACCCTTCATACAAAGGCCATGCGTGACCGGCCTCAAGCAGTTGTCCCCCGGGCTCTGCGGTCACGCTCCCAGGTCTCTAAGACGAACACTAATCTATCTTCCTTTTCAGGTCCTTCAAGAAACAACCTTTCACGGTGTGGGCATCCGGGAAGTGACAACCGCCCTCATACCCGTAATAGCGCATGAGACCAAATTGGTCGAAATCAAATCCTGACTGAATGTCTGACTAGTTAGGAGTTAATAATTCTTTATTCCAGTGGCTTTCTAAAAGTTTAGTCAACTGAAAACAGTTCTTATGAAGAAAATAAATCAATTTATAGACTAAACTTTTTCAATTTGTTGGTTTAAGTTAAGGTGTACGCTACTATTGAGTGAGTTAGGATTCATCATGAATGGAAATTTCTTGCAGAAACCATTTTTAAGTGATAGTTTTCTTAATGTTTTACAGATTTTGTGAATAGTGAAAATTCCACTGTCATTCAACCTGTCATTTATGGAGGTCTTCAATTAATTGTGAATCAGAATGGCAAATTAGATTTTATGAAACCAGAAATCGTTCAAATCACTAGTCAAACACAAACACAAAAAAATAATGTTCAACCTCATGAAATCACTGAATCTAAATCACCCATCAAAGATGATAGTTTAAAAGAACAAAGACATATGGCACAAAATTATTTTTTCCGTAGCATACAAATACCGGACAGTTTAATACAATTCCTGCTTGATCGATTTGTTTCCATACGTTACACTCTTCATAATAGATTTATTCGAGTAAAACCAAGGCATTTATGTGGTGGTCTTCTAATTACTAATGATTGGGTACTCACTGCAGCGCATTGTCTTAGTCCATTTCAAAGGTATCATAATATTTTGCGATTTTATTATTATTTTTATATTTTTTTCATCATACAAGTCATACTGAAAATCTTCAAGTAGCAAAATTACATCAACACAAGGAGACAACATCAATTCAATTTAAACCTGATGATGATAAGGCAAGATCAGTTGAAACAATAATTCTTCATCCAAATTTTACACAAGGTCAAAATTTATCACCAGATATTGGTTTATTGCGATTAAAACATCATTCTATGATTGATTCACTTACTGATGAAGTATACAATTATGAAGATTTAAAAAGTTTTCTATTCATAAATGACAAATCACTACTGATTGATAATTCAGAATATCTATGTTTAATTGCAGGCGTTGGTCATTTAAAATATCGTGATGTAAAGAATGCCAATTCAAATAATTGTAATTAGGATTATTATAAAATAGAAAAAAATACTTTTTATTTAGTATAGATTTTCATGTTGCTTTTGTACATCTGGAATCATGTGATAAATTATGGACAAAAATGGAATTCGATACAGAAGCGAAACAAGGTGAAGATCATGTAGATCATCAACATGAAGAAGACGATCAATGGATCAAAGTCTGCAGACAAAGTTTGATTGATAATACATTTAGTGAAAAGTGTCCTTTCAGTTATTTATGTGCTGGTGGAAGATATGTAGATGGTGATACGTGTCAAGGTGATAGTGGAGGACCACTTCTATGCATTGAATCAAAACATTATCTGAATTATGGAAAGGTAAGTGGTTTATTTTTTACACATTCAGGAGAGTGTATTTGTTGATTTATTCGCTGAAATGAAGTAAATACTGACATAATCGATCAATTGACTCAAGTTATCTGGTCATGATACAGTTTTATGACGAAAAAACTTACAAAAAGTGTGTAGAAATTGGCAAACGAGGCAAAATTCATGAGAAGATAAAAAGTGAATCAATTAAATAACTGATTATGCAAAATATAATCTATACTGATAATTATTGTTCCAAATATTTGTGTATGTCATCGGTCTATTCACATTCAACTCATTTTATTCAACATCATTGATATACTAGCCAGAAGTATCGGCAAACTATAATAATAAATTACTCTGTATTGTTAGAAAATATTTGAAATTAACTGAGCGACAAAAAGAATCAGGATCCTGGAATAGGGATCCGGGACCGGGTCCTGGTCATAGAATGTTACAGATAATGCGTATTTATACATTTAGGTTGAATAGGAATCAGCATCGAAGTCTGTGACATTGACAGTTAAGACGACCAATAGGAAACAATATTTGGAGTGACATTGAATTTCAGGAGGACCAATAAGAAACAACATTGCAGCACGTGGCATTGATATCTAGGACGATCATAAAATTGACCAGTAGAAATTAACCAATAGGAATAGATCAATAATTCTCTTAGGATATTGAATGAATAACCTATCAGTTATTAACCTGACGAAGTTTAGACAAATTTCAAACTCATAAGATTATTTCAAATACAATCATCAAAAACAAATCAGAATATTCCCAAAAAAATTATTTACCAAAAGTTAATCATGACTCTTTAATCTCACTTTCTTTTTTCAAAAAAAATTAGTCTATTATCTGATCGTTTGCACGTAAACTTGTTTTCTCGACAAAACAACACTAGCGACTAGCTTCGTGAGGAATCTTCTCCGAGTTCTAGTGGGAAGACGTAACCAGTGAAGTTCAACCTGTTCGGGTGTAGATAGTAACTACCGAAGACTGTGTATGAGGTTGCGCAACTCCGTGAATTGATCAAGTTAGACATCGACACCGTTAGATACCGGCTCAGTGGTCCGATGGTTAGGCGTTCGCGCACAAAACCGAAGGTCCTGGGTTCGAATTCTACCAGGTACAGGAGTCGTGGATGCGCACTGCTGATGAGTCCCATACCAGGAAGAAACGGCCGTGTTTCACTGCTTCCAGGTTTCTAATGAAGTGGTCTAACATTGATCGATTCATGGTTTCAAAAATTTGAAACAAATATCCTTTAACATGTATATTTAAAAAAACTTTCCCCCTAACTTAATTACAATTTGTCAGAAATAAATTTATTTCTTAAAATAATCATTATCAATGATGTTTTGTAATTTTTTTTGTCGAAAAATCGATTATCATCCTCACCTAATTCCGAAACCGTATTTCAGATAGTGATTTCCTTTTTTTCTACCCTTTAACTAAATTTCATATGCCTCTCTAACTTTTATGACACTATGAATAGTTTGATTTACCATTTGAAACTGCAACATGTGTGTACATTAGACGTTAGAGAACTGATTAATTGAAAAACTTTAGCCGAACTCATACATAATAATAATAATAATTATTATTATTAATGTTCAAAACTGTTGGGGAGGTTAGATCCAGAAAAACTCACTTGGAAAAGGTCCTAATTTTGGGATTTTTTATGTTTTCGCGCATACGTTGCTCAGTTAACCTTGAGATTGCATTTCCCATTCGGAAAATACTTGACTGTCATTGGTTGGTAGATTAGTATTAGTACGCTATTTTTATGGCTCTCGCAAGAATGTTTCTATCATTGTATAAATAAACTGGATTTGTACGGTTGTCATCCTCGTATTTCTGCGTGCTTATAGAATACACTTTCTACTGCGTATCAAGACTTTTTGATATATCGTTAGCAGGGCGTGGGACAAACAGATTAGAATAGCCTATCGTGTCACTGCATCATTGATCTGCGCTCCGTTTACCAAGTAAGGTGAACTCGTAATAGTTTCAAGCATATCACTTGACGAGTATATTGTGAACCGGTCAACAAAGCTTACTAGTGACTGTTGTAAATTGTAATAATCAACATAAAATAATTCAACTGTTGATTATAATGATGAGTAACCAATGTCATACGTGAGAGCTTTTAATCGTACTTGAAATATGTTTAACTTTGGTAGTGATACATCTCTGCTAGGAGCCCTTTAAAGGTTACTGTTCGTTCCAAGCCCAGATAAACAAGGACTAAACGATGGAGTTATCGACCTCATCTAAAATAATGCCAACTAGAAAAAATAATTCAAACCATTTGAACTCTGATCTGGTAGTTGAAATGTTTTCATTGAGAAGAGTTATCACACCTCATGGTAAATACCGAGTTTCTTTAGAATTGATAAAGTTGACAGCTCTCCAGACAACTGTAGCCACAATTAACAAAAGTGTACGGAATAGTCACACAGTGTTTGGGATGTCAGAAGAACTATTCAAGTTGTAGCAAAAAATGAAAAGACACAACCTGTTGGTGCCTTGAATAAGTGAAACATATTGGACGTATACACAAAGCTACATGAGTCTCACTGAATCACACTACACAGAACTAAATTGACCACATTTGCATCAATAAAAATTTCACAAGCACACTGGTCAAAGAGAGGAGCCTACACAGCTTCAGATCACCACTTGGTAATGGCCAAGATGAATGTGAAACTAAAGAAACACTGTACAATTGGTTAACAACATAACATAATTTTTTGAAACCATGAATCGATCAATGTTAGATCACCATTAGAAACCTGGAAGCACTGTAACACGACCGTTTCGTCCTGGTATGGGAGGGACTTTTCAGCAGTGCGCATCCACGACTCCTGCAGCTGGTGGGATTCGAACTTGGGACCTTCGGTATTGTGCGCGAACGCCTAACCATCGGACCACTGAGCAGGTGTCTGACGGTGTTAATGTCTAACTTGATCTTCGGGATACAAGCGAACTCGAAGAATTCACAATAGACATCAACAATAGGTTCCTAGCCTTACCATGGAGAACCACTGGAAATGGGTTAAAGAAACAATAAGTTTCAGGTTTCTAATAGTAGTCAAACAACTATTGATTTATGAATTCGAGGCAACCTCAAGAATCTCCACTATCTATTAACTACATTAATCATTTCAAATAAATGTTACTTACTTACTTACTACTTACCTACGCCTGTTACCCCTAATGGAGCATAGGCCGCTCACAAGTTTCCTCCAACCAACTTTCCATGTACCTAAAACAATGGTTGCTCTGGTTGTCAGAAAAGGGCATCGGTCCCGTGACTTCCGAGGGAACTCGGCTTTCATCACGCGACGTCATAATTGTTCTTCCAACTCCCAGGGCAGAGTTAAAATGGTTTGAATTATTTGTTCTGGTTATCGTTTTTTGGCAAGTTAGTTTTTGACGGAATGTGGTCGCCAACCCCATGTCCAACCCTCTTCCTTTATCCGTGCTTGGGACCGGCAGTAACCCCTAAGGTTCTACTGGCGGAGTTAAAATTAATAGATTAGACATCGTAATTTTCAAAATTTATGATCATCTAATAACTTTAGTAGTGCATAATTTTCTTTATTCTAATCCTATGGTTTACAAACTACTGTTGATTAAAGATATTGGTTGTGAGAATTAAATGTAAGCAGCTGGAGTACACTTATTTGATGTTATTTTTGTCATAAGAAATTTTACATAATAACAGTTGTCTTTAAAATGTTGTTCATGTAATTTCCAAACTATTTTTTTAACTCTTAGAAATGGTTCGTTGCTGGTATTGCATCATCAGGAATTCAATGTGGTTTGAATGGGATTCCATCAATCTATGCACCAATAAGCGCGTACTTAAGTTGGATAGAATCTATTATAGGCTAATAGAAAACTACATAACCTTTGGAGTAAATTTTTGAATTTCAATTATGGCTACTTGAATTTATTTCAGTAGTTCGACAAATTTCAACAAATTATATGTTTCATTGATTTTTCAGGATTTAAAATTGGGTGATTGATGTGACTGACACCTTTCTTTGTTTTCGATTCGTTGATCACATTTTTCTCATATTCACTAGATAATTGTTCTTTGATCAATATTGGAGTTTATATTCTTTGAGAAAACCCATCAATTTTGAACTTACAAAAGTTACTTTGAAATACAGATTTAAATAATATTTATTGAGAAATAAATTAGACTGAAAGAACTAATATGAACCCATTTTTACAGTTTGCAATCCTTTCTACTCAGACTTTCTACGCAATGTAGATCACTTGATTATTATTTTCATTATAACCTCATTCATCATATTTGTTTATGTGACCAACATATGCATAAGCAAAACCACTCGGACCAATCACAGAACCTCTTTATTTTCTGAGATCATTAAACTAAACCTCAAATGATACAGTGAATATATTGGAGATGCAGTACCACGATTTCTTATTTATTTTCATACTATTTGCCTACAACAAGCAAATTTCACCACTGTTTGTCTTCCCTGTCTACAACAAATTGTTAGGCATGCACACATGATTTGGAGAACTATTGAAGTGAGTTGATAAACGATTACCAATCTTTATGTACTTTTGAAAAGGCCTTTTCGTTTTCAAGCCGTCAGGAACACTGTAACCTCCTACCTATATGAGTGAACTGATTTTCCCGCATAAGTAATTCAGTTTGAGCAGCATTGCATTTTAGGGAGCACACGATAGATACTTCTAAGTATTTCAAACCAATAAAGATTACACTTGATTAACCATCATGTCTTATAGTAAGTGCATTCATTACCTTTGGAAATGAGCTAATAGGAAGCCATACTTAGGTGAATTATCTCTATCGATTTTAAAGTGATATATGTAGTCTGTAGTAGCGGCCCTTATATATTAAGATACTACAATGAATTGGTTTCTTACAAACAATTCTGATACCGCCGATTGCAATAGGATTTACATTTTCAAATAATATTAGTAATATACTACTACTACATCAGAAAGAATCTGTAGGATTTCTTCCGAGTTTCTTTTACATGTATTGTCTTTTTGTCGATTCAAGGGTTCTCATAATTCATTAAATCGGTTAGACAGACGAAGCTATGGACTTCATAAAATAGACGTGATCAGTATGAATGATGACAAATGTGCTAGAGATCATTTAATTTATTTATGAAGAAGATATAGATTTCGAAGTGAATGAGAGATTCTATAGTTGGGACAAGTATTTTATTTTATGGTTTCGTATTTGTGATTAAGAGTCAGTTAGTTATTGAACAATCTACTTAGATGACTTTCAGCTAATCTTGTCATCTTGGTTTATAAATGATAGTTAGATCAGAATTTGAAAAGAACAGAGGTTTTATCCGCCATATTGGTTGGAAAGAATAAATAGCAGTAAATTAACCTGTTGTAACACAACTGAAACTACACATTTGTAAGCACCTTCTAGGTTGTTTTCCTTAGTAGTTTAGCCTACTTATAAACTTTTAAGTAGCATAAATTTTACTACAAAATTGTGCCTTGTTGAGTGGAACAAATGTCTCTTTAAAATAAATTTTGGCTACTGCAGTGATTGATTGTCAGATTTATAACTGATTGGAATAAAGATTATCGTTTACGTTACAGTATCGTCATTAAAGATATTTATTTAGGATGTAAGTGAGACTGGATTTGCAAAACAAACTTATTTCTTGGGCTTATTGTAGCCTCCGTAATGAAACCAGTTTTTAGATAGTTATGTTCAATAATTGATGAAAGTTCTTATTTTGTCCTGAACTGTTTTATTAAACTTATGTGGTATTAAATACTCACATAGGTCCTATCATGATAACTCATAGTTTCATAGATCAACGAAAAGATTAACTTTTCTTTATGAAAAAAATCCGTGTTAAATTAAAAACGAATTAAAACGAAGCGATTAGGTGTTTTCTAAGAATTATTTTGGTTCTGGTACTAATAATCTTCAGCATTACAGTTAATCAATCTTACGTTTTTAACTAACTACATGTCTTAATATATAACTAATGTTACGCCTGCACGTAAACACGTCAACTTGATGTACTTGAACTATTACGAGTTTACCTAGTCGGAAACGAGAGCGAGGATCCGGTGACACGACATGTTACTCAAATCCGATTATTAAAACCCCCATATTTAGCTAAAATAAGAAGACATGATATGAAGTAGAAAGTGTATTCTACAAGCATCCAGAAAGTACGAGGTCCGAATCCGGAAGATAATCAGGATCCCGGACTAGGGATCCGGGACCGAGTCCTGGTCCTGGCCGTGGTCAATAAACGTTACAGATAAGGCGTATTTATACATGTAGGTTGAATAGGAAACAGCATCGAATTCTGTGTCATTGACAGTTAAGACGACCAATAGGAAGTAACATTTGAAGTGACATTGATAGTCAGGACAACCAATAAGAAACAACATTGAAGTATTTGACTTTGACAGTTATAACGACCATAATTTTGACCAATAGAAACCGACCAATAGGATTTGACCAATAACTCTCTTAGGATATTGGATGAATATCTTAACAACTAATATAATTAGAAATTTTAATAGTTCCTGTAAAAACTACACAGATTTCATGCATGAATGCTTTCGAAAAAAAGTATAACAATATTCGTCCTGAGATAAACCGTTGGCTTTTTCGAAGAGGATTATTAGTTTGACCTCTATTTAGTTAATTTCTCATCAAGATTATTATTTAAAAGTATAGAAATTCTTTTTATAATCATACTCAGGTTATATTTGTGAATGAAATGAATTTGAAATTTTGAAATGAATTTCAAAATATTAATGTTGGGGAGGTTCGATGCCCAGAACTCACTTGGAAAGTGTCCTAATTTTGGATTTCTATGTTTTTGCGTATAAGTCACTTAGTTGACCTTCAGCTTACATTTTCCACCTAGAAAATCCTTAACTGTTATTGTTTGATAGATTATTTTAGTACGCTGTTTTTGTGGCTCTCACCAAGGATGTTGCTATCATCATTGTATAAATAAGCTTGATTTGTGCTTAGCAAGCTCGTATTTTCTGGGTGCTTGTAGAATACATTCCACAACTCCTTATCAAGACTTCTTGCTATAGTTAGTCGGGGCTGGGACAATCGCATTAGAATAGTAATTCGTGTCAACTGAGTCATTACTTCCGTTCTACTTGTCGAGTAACGTGAACTCGTAATAGTTTCAAGCATATTAATTGACGAGTATATCAATTAATTTCCAAAAAATGAAATATTCAGACGATAAAGTTGATTGGTAGATGTGATAAGTTATCAGTAATGATTTGAAACGATGAGTACAGCAGCCATGAACTGTTTTCAATAGATGAATAAAGAAAGCTTTTAGAATTTCGAAACTATTACAACTAACAGTAGGAACAAGATATTAAAGTACTTTTGTTCTAGCTAGGTCTTTTGTTAAATTTCTAGTCAAGCATTTCGGATGCATAATATACCTAGAGATGCGTGCAGTTCACACACATCGTTCTATTTATTATCTTGAATTTCAATGTCACTTCAAATGTTGCTTCCTATTGGTCGTCTTAACTGTCAATGTCACAGACTTCGATGATGTTTCCTATTCGACCTAAATGTGTAAATACGCATTATCTGTAACGTTTTATGACCAGGACCCGGACGCGGATCCTTAGTCCGGGATCCTGATTCTCTTCTGGATTCGAACCTCGTACTTTCTGGATGCTTCTAGAATACGAATTCTACTTCATATCAACTCTTCTTATTTTTACTAAATATGGGGGTTGGGATAATCGGATTGAGTAGCATATCGTGTCGCCGGATCCTCGATTCTCACTCTCGTATTCCGACTAAGCTAAACTCATAATACTTCAACCATATCAAAATGACGTGTTTACGTGCAGGCGTGACAGCCAAATAGAACCTCATGGTTCAATGCCCGACTCTTTGTAAGACGGAACAAGTAAGAGGTTATTAAACATTTAAAAATAACTTGGAACATGTGCTAATTGCATCCATCCTGAGCTAATGTGGTGCCCTAGCCGATTTCAATCAGAGATTTTACACGCCCCCGGCCCTCCTGGTTAAAACTAAATGAAATATGATGTTGCAAGTAATATTTTTCCAAAATGAAAAAAAACAAACTCAGAATTAACATGAAACATGATCAATGTTTTATTAAAAAAAAAGAAATTCTTTCATTAAAATAAGAAAACAAATAAAAAAAGAGAGTGATATGCTTCTTTATCTGTCAATAGGTAGATTTCTAAAGTGAGAAAAATAACTCAATAACCATATGGTGTTGAGACAATAAATTTTTTCGATTATGAGAAGTAAAATTGTCATTAGAATTTTCTAATTAAACTGATTGTGTTCCATGACAAAATCAAATATAAACTGAAAATCGTAGATACTAAAATGTAAAAAGAAAATAGATATGGTTTATTGAGTCTTCAGTTTAGGTGGTCTTTTATATGAATCAAAAAATAAGAATATTTTCATTGATTGCATAGTATAATACTGAATTGAATGACTTTAATTTGAGTAGTAATATCTATGAAGTTTGAAGAGAAATAGTTTGCTTTCACTTTGATAAGTAATGAACAAATTCATCGTCAATGTGGATATTCCTGAGAATGAAAGAAAGCTTTTTTGACTGGATGATTAAATTACAAATGTGCGATTGTTGTGCCACACCACTAGGATGCCTATTCATCTTTGTGTAGCATATACGTTGTCGATCAGCAATCTGCAACCAACTTTATCCTAGGCTTTATTTTCCTACTTCTTCCCAGTTGGTATTGTTTCTTTTCATGTTCGCCATTAATTTTTGGTGTGATGTGTGTTCTTTGGTTTGGACATCATTATCACTGCTTAATTCTAGGTCAAGTAAATTTTAAGACTTGTAGTGCCTCCACATAAACTTGAGTTCGCTCGTATTTAATTTGATTAAGTCTTTCGATTAACTTATGTAACCAAGCTATTGGTATGGCAACAAGCCATATGTACCATTGGTATTTCTTATTGTCTGGTTTGTATGAGCTCGTTCGACTGAGCATTATTTACGCCTACGCTCTTACTTATCCTATTCGCTTTAATGTTAATCTCTTAATATCCCCATGAACTCACATGACTTGTCTCGCTTGCTTTTGACCTTGTCAATCATTCGTCGTTTTTATTCATGTGTGTGCATGCCTATTTCGCTTGTCATATGTCTATCTTATTTTTGTCTGACCATATATTCTTATAGTCATGCTCTATCTCTGGGAGTTAGCTCAACAGCCTTCTCCAATTCACGTCACTTCGTTCGTTTTATTCACTGTTTCTCCGCTTCGCTTTGTGGTGTGTCCCGAATAAACGTATTCAATACTTCGAATTCGCCTTCTGATTTATAAACCGTCAGACGCTAGTTAGTACCGATTGTCTGGACGAGCTAATTACCGAGCTTAAGAACACGCGGTAAATCGACACACTACAGGCTGATAGAGGAATCTACAATCACTAGACAAATCATGAATCAAACGGTTGGAAAACCCTTATCACGACAATTCCCCAAATGAATTAAACATTTTGTGTCAGAAAGCATCATTCTACTTTCAAGAAAAATAGAAAGAACTTACATCTTCAGTACTGAATAATGATGTGCCTTCTAAATTTTTCGGATGTGCTTCAATTGTTTCAAAGGCAGTTTTAAGTCGAACCATGCATAACATGAAATCTTCAAAACTGATTTTATCCGTACCAGGATCTTGATATCGATTGACAATTGCGTTAAACAATCGATTGCTCACATGATAGCCTAAGAAATTTGATTGAATTAAAAAGAAAGCATCTCGTTTCACATATATATAAGTTTGTTTCAACAATGTCAACATAAGTAGATTGCACGAAAAAAAAGTGTTAAATAATTTTTTTAAAAAAACAATTTTAGATCACAGCTAGATTAGAAAGATTAAGGGAAAGAATTTGAGATAACAATTAAATTTCTACAGACTATGAAGTGTAATCGGTGTACTTAATCATATTCAGGATATTTTCAATTAGAGTTATGGAGCTTAGTATTTTTACACATTTGAAATCATCAATCAATCATTGTTAGACAACTGTTAGAAACCTGGAAGCACTAGACTGCTGTTTTGTCCTGGTATGGTATTAATCAGCAGTGCGTATTCACGACTTCGGTATTGTGCGCGAACGCCTAACCATTGGACCACTGGGCCGGCATCCAACGGTGTTAATGTCCAACTCTGATTGATATAGGGATTTTGCGCGACTTCACCTATTTGTCTTTGGTAGTTACTGCCTACACCCGAAAGGGTTGAACTCCACCGGTCATGTCTTCTGATTTGGGTTTTGGTATGACGTAAGCTCTTTAATCAACTGCCTTCAAGTTCTACGCATTTTCCTTCAGTAATATATAGGATCCTTCTGAAACTGCATCCAGGAACCGTATACTGTTGCTTTTATGTTAAAGTATCGTAGTCAGATTTCTTTTATATGGTTAGTGAACAATACTAAGAAAATTTGTACATTGGTGAGTTTAAGTAAGTTTCATTTCAATGACACATTTACTCTCTTTGTAAGTAGAAAAGGTTTTCTATATTCATTTTCTTCCTCATATGTAAATTTTGATGACCAGATGAGTTTCATTAAATCTCTTGAATGTTCGGTCAGTATGATGTTTTACAAAGCATAAACATATCGTCCATGGCAGTAAAACAAAAGCTTGTCATTATACTATGTCAATGGAACGTTTATTAGTTTAGCAATAAAATGTCAGTCAATATGGAACCTGTTAGCAAGTTCATCGCTATACCATCTCTTCACCTATATACATTCGATAATCTACTTGAATAGGATATTTGGTAAACAATAATATTATGTCTAATGACATCGTTATATGTTCTTTAATTGTTACGTTCGTCACTAGGTACGCTTGAAGTTATTACGAGTTCACCTTAGTCGATAAAACGCGAACGAGACAATGAACCAGCGTCCAGGTAGGCTACCTTGAATTCCAAACTGCAAAACAGAAGACTTGATAAGCTTAGAAAGTATATTCTACAACACCCAGCAATCAAAATACAATCAAGCACACAACTTTCGTTTATTTACACATCAGTGAAACGTCCTTGAGATAGCACACTAAAACAAACAGCAGCCAATCACAGCCATGGATTATCTTCGTGGAAAATGCACCCTCAAGGTCAACTGATCAGCCCATGCTAGCAAACGTGAAATCCAAAATAAGGCATTTAACAAGCGAGTTCTGGGTTTATCTAACATCCCCAACATTAACGTTCTATCTTAATTGGTTTTTTTAATCAATTTAGAATAAACATACATTAAAAGTAATTGATCAATTTTATGTATCATCAATAAACAAGCAATGAAAACATTTAAGAAATAAAGAATCGCATGTACAGACCTGCATCATTTAATGCTTCACGAAATTCATATGCATTGAAAAATCCACTTTGATCAACATCATGTTTTAGGAATATATGCTAAGAGTGTGAAAATAATAATAATAACAATAGTACATTGAATGCTTTTCACATACTTTTCAGTTATTAATCAATAACAATAAAAATGTTTGATATTTTAAGTAAAATATCTTAATGAATGAATTCATATTCTAATATATATTTCATAAAGTTAGAAAGAAAACAAAAAATTGTCAGTCGACAGATTAAATTCATGCTCAGATCATGTTGTGTATAGTAGGAAAACACGTAAGGAGGGATAGAATGGAACTTAAATAGTTCTGTGGTGCGCGCTACTTATAAGTAGTATATAACGCGAGTGTAAACGTAATGTCTGGCAGCGGAAGATGGGGGAAGATCAAGAAGAAAGGAAGAGTGGGAACACAATGGGCATTGTATGAAACGCATGAATAGTGAAATGTCAAACAATGGATTGATGATGGATTGAAGATTTGCAAATTAACGATTTACGATATGGTTTTCCTATTTTACTGAGTAACTCTGTAATTTTCGTTGAATACAATTCGGTTCTCCTTCATTACAGTTCTAGTATAAAGTTGAGTTTTTTTGAATGAATATTTTCCTTGATGAAAGATAAGGTTAAATGACACCAATAGTTAAATGTGGGGACACTGGGTTTTACTATATACACATTCCGAACTGTAATCATGTCTATGTAGGAGAGATATCACTATATTTAAAAGTAAAATTGGTGGAGTACTGGTGATTTTGAAACAAGCTTGAAAATTCTACAACGATCTTAGAAAGCTGAAGGTTAGTTAGACCTTACCTCTGAACTTAATCAAAAACATGAATATAAATTTGATTTTGAAGGGTTTAAAAAATTACTTCAGAAATGTTTAATTTCTTATACTTAAAAATATTGATAGCGAAAGCCTTGCATAAATGTAGGAAGGATTTGATTTCGACCAATTAGGTCTCGTGTGCTGTTACGGGTATGAGGGCGGTTATCACTTCCCGGCTGCCCACACCGTGGAAGGTTGTTTCTTGAGGGACCTGAAAAGGAAGATAGATCAGTGTTGGTCTTGGAGACCTGGGAGCGTGACCGCAGAGCCCAAGGGACAACTGTTTGAGGTCGGTCACGCACGTCCTTTTTATGAGAATTTTTTTGAGTATTGGCTCCGCTCTTGAAAGCCCTTAGTGGGCACCCTCAGCGACGTAGACGGAAATCCGTGAAGTAGGGTGAGATGTGACATATATATATATATATATATATATATATATATATATATATATATAGTAAAGCACATTGTACGATTTCTTTTCAATTGTTGAATGTGGAATCAGTTAACTGAAGGTCCTGGGTTCGAATCCTGCGAGGTGCAGGAGTCGTGGATGCGCATTACCACTGATGAGTGCCATACCAGGACGAAACGGCCGTCTTTCAGTGCTTCCTAGGTTTCTAATGGTGGTCATCTAACAATGATTGATTGATGATTTCAAATGTGTAAAAACACAAAACCTCCAAAAACTCTGCCCGAAAAAGTCTTGATTTTATTGAATTCCGTGTTTTAATTGGAACTTGTATCTATCTATTTGTTTCGTCATAGCCTACATTTTTTCCATATTTAGTATTCTGTTGAGTTATATTACTTTTTTTGAACAGTGTATACTTTCATGTTCATATTAGATAAAACATTACTTTATGATAGAACATTATTTCTCTGATCACCTTCTAAAATTAGTCACCTATAAGCAGATAATGGCTATTATAATAATGTGTTGTGGAGATTATGATATTTAAAGTTTTATGTGACAGACTGATTGTGTTTGATCTGTTGTAGGGTCGCAGATGCACAATCTTGAAGATACTAAATCGAAAGAGCTATGTAGTACTCTCTGGTGTTGAGGGTGTGTAATCTTGAAATACTCTATGTTTACAAAGAAAACCAACCAAGTGAACTTCATTCATGGACAGTCGATATATTCTCACATGTATCGATTCATTCAGTATACAATTCATTTATTTTATTTTCAATTTGATTTCATGATATCAATTAATGTACAATGATTTGTATTGTTCCATTCATAAACTATGATCATTTTAATCGATGTGCAATTGATCGATTTTATGATTTTTCATTATCGAGTTATGGAGATTGTTGTTTTTCATTGAAATCATGAATTGACTATTGTTAGACTACCATTAGAAACCTGAAAGCACTGAAGGATGGCCGTCTCGTCCTGGTTATGGGACTCATCAGCATTGCACATCCAAGACTCCTACTAGTTGCAGAATCGGAACCTGGGAACTTTGGTCTTGTGCGCGAACACCTGACCTCTGGTTAATTGTTATCTGTTACCGATAACTAATAACTCCATTTCAATCTTTGTATATAAATGTATAAATATCATACATTTGAATAATGAAGCTTATTTTCAGATAACTAGATTTTTTGATGGATAGAAGCATGTAAGCCATTATAAGGGATACGTTTAATAAAGTTACATAAGAGAAAGGAGTTAATTCGGTTGGGGAATGTTTAAGTTTCATTTCATCGAAGACAATGCAAATTCTACCTTTAAAAAACCTCGAACATAAGTATGCTAAACAAATGTACTGATAATAATACTACATATTCGAGTTTGAAAATGTTTTGAAAAAAGTATTAAAGATTACTTTCGTTTTTTTCCCATGTTACCCCTAATGTGGCTTTAGTACTGACTGAGAGAAAATTGTCTTCAACTGTAGAAATGTTGCTCTTGCTTTGTTAATCTGCGTCTTCACAATGGCATCAGATCCAGTTTTCTCATCAATGATACTGACCAAGTATATAATAGTTTCCACATCTTTCAGTGCTCCTCCTTCAAGTATTATTTGGATAGTGCATGTTGTGTTGTATCGGAAGATCTTACTTTAACCTTTTTGGATGTTGAGACCTACTGCTTCAGGGGTCGCCGCTGCATTTGTTGCAGTGTGTGGGATAGAGAAGCTAGATGATCTGCGAAGTCCAAATCGTCTGTCTAGTGTTATTTATCTTCTCAGCTACACCATAATGCCAAAGAAGCATCCATCATGTCATCCTATCTACGACGTCGAATGCTTTTTCACAGTCAAGGAAGTTGAGCTGCACTCAGTCAATTGTCCCACAATGATCTATAGTGTTTCGATATGGCCAGAGAAACAATTAAATAATTAAGTTGAATAAGTATCAGAAGTTTATTTGATTATTCTAGAAAAAACTGATTTAGAAATAACTTACTTTCCATCCTTTAGCTTGTATCCAAAGATCCATAAATTCATTTAATTCAACATGACCTGTTAAATTATTCTAAACAAACAATCATTTAGTTAAGGCAGTTCACAGTGGAGTGATTATTTTAAAAATTAGAAACAGTTTTGAGGATGTTAGATTTAAAAACACTATACAATTTGGCTTTTATACACTGATATCAAGTAGATATCTTTCTTCAAGTTGAAATATTAAAGTCTGTCTATATTAATGAGAACGCCTTAAGGGGTGAATTGAATTATTCTAAGACAGATTAAACAAAATCGATTCATCTGACTAAATTTTGTGTAATGTGTGTAATGTGATTTTCACACAATCACAACACAGATTACAGGGTTTCATTTTGATGGAGCTTTACTACCAAGCGATGAACTCAGCGTCGAAACGTTGTTTAACTGGATGAGGTTTACCAAAGTCCTAAAAATTGTTACTTGAGTAAAAAAACTACTTACATACTTCCTTACTTACGCCTGTTACCCCCGATGGAGCATAGGCCGCCCACCAGTTTTCTCCAACCAACTCTGTCCTCGGCTTCCCTTTCAAGTTCTGTCCAATGTTTGTTCATTTTCCTCATGACTATCTCTATTTCTCGACAGAATGTGTTCCTTGGCCTTCCTCTTTTCTTTTCACCTTGAGGGTTCAACGTGACGGCTTGTCTTGTGACGCGGTTTGGTGCTTTTCGTAGTGTGTGTCCTATACACCACTTCCACCACTTCTTCCTGATTTCCTCATCCACTGGAATCTGGTTTGTTTTCTCCCACAGTAGGTTATTGCTGATGGTGTCTGATCAACGAATCCAAAGTATTTTGTGCAGACAACTGTTAATGAATACATGTATCTTCTGGATGATGGCTTTGGTAGTTCTGCAAGTTTCCTCTCCATACAGTAGAACTGTCTTGACATTTGTGTTGAAAATCCTAATGTTGGTTGAAAGTTGTTTGGAGTTCAAACCCGTGACCTTCGGTATTGTGCGCGAACACCTAACCACTGAACCACTGGGCCGGCACCCAAGAGTGTTAAGGTCTAACTCTGATTGATCTAGGGATTTTGCACGACCTCACTCATTTGACGAAACGGCCGTCTTTCAGTGCTTCCAAGTTTCTCTAATGGTGGTCTAACAATGAATGATTGATGATTTCAAATGTGTAAAAACACTAATCTCCATAACTCTAATTGAGAATAACATATGTTAAAATCTACTAAATTACCAAAGAAGAGGAGTTCAAGTAATAAAACAGTGTAGAATGTATACGATAAAGAGGATGGAAGAATTAGCGAACGAAAGATATAGAAAATAATCGAGTAACGCCATTTGTGAAACCTTATCTGGTCAACGCAGAAAATGCCTAGATTGGGCGTCGTATTTCAAATCTGTATGGCTTCTTTCATATGCAAAAGGTGAAATCGAACCTTTTTAAAAAAAAGTTCAAAGTATACGACAAATTACTATGGATAATCTGATCTTTTCTACAACATGACCGCTATCGAAGAAGTGTGATGGAGCCATACTGGTAGCTACTCTTTAACTTGTGAGCTAAGTCCCCTAGTTGTACATCAATCATAACTTTTTGCATAGCGGCATCAGAATTCGTAAATACACTTGGTTGTGATGGGACTAAGTAACTCAATCTTTCGTTCAGGAACCACAGAAGGTTGACAAGCAAATAACAAAAAGAGAGATTAACTGAATACAAGGTCTTCTTCACTATTCTAGATACTTAATCCCATAGTGACTCTCTAATTATATTTCGGTTGAATTATAGCCTCGAAAGGGATTAGTTGACTATTTTCATTTATGCATACGTGTGTTCTATATCGGCAGATTCATTGCTTACACTCAACAATATGTCATATAGTATTATAGGTTGACTTAAGAATGATAATCACTAAAATTTACCATTATATGGTTGAGGAGATTGTTTATTTTTCAAATCCTAATTGGATCTAAGTTAGACCACCATTAAAAACTTGGAAGCACTAAAACGCCTATTTTCTTGTATGGAACCCATCAGCGGGGTTGACCAACGACTTTGCATGTGGGAATCTATCCCTGAACCGTCGATGTCACTCACGGACCTTCAACATTTAAAGCACTGCACTGGAATCTTACGGTGTTAATTAAGTTTTGGAACTCCATCAGTTGAAGTGGTTGGGACATGTGTTAAGTATGCCTAACCACCGACTGCCTCGTAGAGCTATATTTTGTGGTGTAGGAATAGGTTGGAAGAAAGCTAGTGGCGGCCAAACCAAAACAAGGCAGCAATCCATGAAGTCAATAATAATAGACTGAGTCATGTTGGTAGATGTAGGCTATCTGGTTGGGGTCCGCGAGACGAAAGTCACCAATGGTTAGAGACCTTGAACGACATGGCTCAGAATCGTTTGTAATGGCGCAGGTGCATCCACTCTTTGTGTGCTTTTTAATTCTAACCTTCTGAATTCCTCATAATCTCTACCTTTCTCCTAAATTTATATTACTGAATTATACTTCTTGAAACATATCTTCGCTCCCTAATCTTCTCCATTACTGCTAATACTTCTATTATTGCTGTCACTCTTGGATTTGAACTGACAGTTGCGTCTCTGTGCTGATGGGGCATCGCAACCTGAACTGATGTACTTACGTACGAAGTTCTGTGTTGTATCTGTCTGTCTGTCTGTCTAACTTCATTCAATTCTAGATATAACGTAAGCTTCTGTAGTTTTCGGTAGGTAACTGCTTCACAAATGATTTCGAGCAGTGCCATGCACATACAAAAAAATCCAACTGAGTTTTACATGATTTAAAAAAAATAAACAAATTAACCAGAAACAATAAGTAAAGGATACATCTATAGAAGCAACCATACTACGACACAATTCTTTATTAAATCCTTTGAAATTAGGCATATCTATGAAGAAAAAGAAGAAAGAGGAAAAACAATATGAAAGATCTATCCCAATTCAAGGTTTTAAATTGAACTCATTACTAATCCATGTGAAATTAGTAAATGAATGGATTTTAATGAATTCGCCATAAAGGGATTTTTATGTTATGAACTTGGCAATTTTACATGGATAAAATAATTGAGTTGCATTTTTTTTATTGTAACTGTATTGTAGTGCCTCCACACATATATTCCAGTTCGCTTACATTTTTATTTGGTTAAGCCCTTTCGATTAATTTATTTAACCAAGCCATTTGTATAGCAACAACTCATATGTACCATTGGTATTTTTTATTATCTGGTTTGTATGAGCTTATACGACTGAGCATTGTTTACGCCTACGCGCTTACTCATCCTTTTCGCCTTAATGTTAATCTCTTAATATCCCCATGAACTCACATAATTTGTATCGCTTGCTTTTGACCTTGTCGATGATTCGTCGCTTTTATTCATGTGTGTGCATACCTATTTCGCTTGTTGTATGTCTGTCTTATATCTGTCTGACTATATATATTCTTCGTCATGTTCTATCTCTTCGATTTGGCTCATTAGCCTTCTCCCTGTTCATTCGCTTCCTTCTCCCATTCGTTCGCATTGTAACCCAAGGAGTTGGCTCAACAGCCTTCTCCAATTCACGTCTCTTCATTCGTTTTATTCACTGCTTCTTCGCTTGTCTTTGTGGTATGTCCCAAAATAAACGTATTCAACACTTTGTGTTCACCTTCTGATTTTTATAAACCGTCAGATGCTATTTAGTAACGATTGACTGGGCGAGCTAGTCACGAAGATTGTTTAAACATTGTGTCCAATTTTAGTATGGAAGGTTTTCAAACGGATTATTGAAGCTTTACAATAAATACATATCAAATAACATGAATGATAGTGTTAAACACTCTAATTCTGGGTACACATCAACAATGAAAGTTCAGTGTAGAATATAGAGCAGTCTACAGTGACATTGAGTGATGGATAAGTTACATTTTGGCAATGAGGACAATTATTATTATTATTATTATTATTATTATTATTATTATTATTATTATTATTAGTCAGTGCACTACCATTAAGAACTACCAAATCGGAATAGGTTCGATCTAATGCAGAATTATTGGGCTGAATAATTGAGGCGAAAATAATGATGTTAGGATATTCATCCAATATCCTGAGAGAATTATAGATCTATTCCTATTGGTTAGTTTCTACTGGTCAATTTTATGATCGTCCTAGATATCAGTGTCACGTGCTCCAATGTTGTTTCTTATTGGTTGTCCTGACTATAAATGTCACTTCAAATGTTGCTTCCTATTGGTCGTCTTAACTGTCAATGTCATAGACTTCGATGCTGTATCCTATTCAACCTAAATGTATAAACACGCATTATCTGTAACGTTTTATGACCAGGACCCAGTCCTGGATCTCTAGTCCAGGGTCCTGATTCTCTTCTGGACTCGGACCTCGTACTTTCTGGATGTTTGTAGAATATAGTTCCTACTTCATATCAAGCTTTCTTCTTTTATTCAATGAGGGTTGGGATAATCGGATTGAGTAGCATGTCATGTCGCCCGATCCTCTATTCTCGCTCTCGTTTTCCGACTAAGGTAAACTCGTAACAGTACAACCACATGAAGCTGACCTGTTTACGTGCAGGTGTAACAAATAACTATCTTTTTTTTTCCATTCATTACCTTGTAATGTACTATTATTTAAAAGTTCACCCAATTTAGCTGCATTGATAGCCAGAGTTTTTGGATCACGCATAGCTACGAATTGCTTCTCAATTTCTTGATCTTCATCCTAATTTTCAATTTATTTATTTGAAAAAAAAACAGTGAAATAAACACAGTAAATTATAAAATGCATTTTTTTGGCTAGTTCACTTAAATAAAGGAAACTAATAATAGTGTCAATCATAAAAACTGATAAAAATGCTTGAACCAATAATAGTTAGCTATTATTTAACTGAACAGTCGGTTGAAAGATCATTGTTCAAATGTCAATAACAATTGTTTTAAGTCGTTTTTTTCTGTTGATGTTTAGGACTACAATTGATTAGGTATATGTGCTTCGTGTGCAGATTGCCTTGATATGGCGGCCCTTTTAGATTGTAAGCATTATTAGCAGAGGTCGATGATACTTGAGCATAATGAAAGAGTTTTATACATATAGGTTAAAACTAATCAGTAAATTATTCAGGTTAATAGCAGAAAAACACTCGATAGATGCAAGATTTACAATACATTATTATGTGATTGCCAGTATGTAATTTGTAAACTGAATTACTATTTATCCGAGATATCTTATTAGTTTGAAACATACAAAATAGGTTTTAAAATCATGAAGTTAAGATGTCATATATTGGGTGATTTTAGATTTGTTTTCTAGAGTTTCTAGGGTGGCTTGAGTTGTTTTGTAAGTGAGGTGGCTAAATTTTTATTTCGGTAGTGCCAACCAGCACTCTCCAATATAATCTGTCCGGGGTATTCTTTTACAGTTCTATTCCAACGCTGTCCATTCTTCTCACTTCTGCCTTCAGTTTTTGGCGCCATGTGTTCCTTGGCCTTCCTCTTTTCCTTTGACCTTGAGGATTCCAAGTGAAGGTTGTCTTGTGAGACAGTTGGGTGCTTTCCTCTATGTGTGTGTCCTATCCACCTCTTAAGCCCTTTCTTAATTTCTTCCTCATATGAAAGGTGGTTTGCTCTTCCTCTTTGAGGTTTGCTCATCCCCACAACAGGTTGTTGCTGATTGTGTCTGGCCAACAAATCATGAGTTTCAAGCACAGACAACTGATAATGAATACCTATATCTTTCGGATGATAGCTTATGCGGTTCTCTAAGTTTTCGTCCCATACCGTAGGAAAATTGTGACCTCGGCAATGGTTGATAGTTTTTTCGAGTAATAGTTGATCTTCAACCGAAGAAATGCTGCCCTTGCTTTGCCAATCGGCGCTTTCACATCATCTACATCAGATACGTCGTACTCATCAGTGAGGTTGCTCAGATACGTGAAGGTTTCGACATCTTCCAAAGCTTTCTCATCAAGTGCGATACGGTTAAAGCATGATGTGTTGTATCGGAGAATCTTGCTTTTTCTCTTGTATATGTTGAGACCTACTGTTGTACTCTGTAGCAATTTACTTTGTCGATTTGTTCCAATGTATAATCGTCAGTTGTTTTCTAGTTATTCTGGCTTATGTGTATTACAAATTATTATTTTTATTATTTAACAGTGTGTGCTTAAAATAATCTGTAAAGAAGTAAGTCCCATTAATTTTATTTACATCTATTTATAGAATATCAGTATAAGAAACTCCGCATAGAGCCCTTCAAGGGTTACTGCAGGTCTCAAGCCCATATAAAGGTGAAGGGTCGAGAAGAGAGTTGCTAGCTTCTTCCCGTAATAAAACAAACATGTGAAAAATCGCTAACCAGAAATATCAATATATATAAACTGAAAGGGATGTTAGATCTCATAATCACTTTAATATGTGAATGAATTACACCTTAATTGATGTTGATTGTAAGTATACAACATTTAGTCATTAAATCAATGAAGTTTGTCTGCCTTGTACCAAACCGAAAACGAATAAGTACGCTAAAATGAATCACTATAAGACTTATCCTAAACTTGGTCATTTATTCCATGAACACTGCTGAACTGATGCATTTTGAGTGATCTATTTATTTTCGATTTCATATATCTGCAAACAGGACCGTCGACGGAATAATCCGAACATGATCGAAATATGTAATCATTTGTGACACAGTCTGAGTTATATCGCTTACAGCAGTTTAGAAACAAAAATAAAGATCAATGAACAGTTGTTTTTTGATTCATTTGTAGAATTCTTCCGCAGTTTTCAATGTTTCATGATTTTCTGTCAATGTCGTTGAAATATTTTAATGAAGAGAATAATATTATTGACTTACTAACAGAGTATCTTCTAATTTCAAAGCTTCAATGACATCCTAGACAAGAAGATAGATAGTAAATAAACAGGTATTTTGTATGTTGCATACAACATTTGTAATAAATAAGCAGTTAAAATTAATTGACAACTGTTGACATAGATCGACATCGTTTATAACCCTTTATATCTAGATTTATCGTACATTATTTAGAAAAATAATGTAGATTGAAGAATAAAGAAACGTTTATTCTAGAAACAAAATAAATATAAGGCTTAAGATAAATTGTGTGTTCTGTTTGAATAAATTTAGATAAACTGTAATCTTCTATGACCTGTCTCAATATTCTTTGTATGTGCTGGAGTAAACAGGTTAAAAGCATTCAACTAAGAAGTGTAGATTCTTGAGAAGTAAATAAATACCAAATTCAGTAAATTGAAATGATAGTCAATGAATACAAGGAGAATGAATTTCTATCAGACGCGAAATGTTGTGTTTGAACTAACTGATGAAACATGAACAAGATATGCATCTTCACAGAGGCGTAAATATTTGAAAGTTGATCAAGCTTGCTATTAGTAATGTCTATTTGGATGAAGATAAGTTAAAAATTGAAGAGTTGTTTGCGAGTTTATATAGAGAGAAATATCAATAATGTATCCAATGAATAAAATAGTGAAATCATTTTCTTTGATCATCCATTTCATAGGGGTAGTACAACATGGAACACAGTTGAGTATTTTGTCAGGTTCCAAAGGAAGTTAAGTAGTTTTGCAATCAACCTTATCTAGGTGATTTAATTTAGCTGAATGTACTTTATATTTTCTTAAGTATTTGACAGGCAGAAAACAACTTTATAATTTTTTTAAAATTAGAGTTGTGGAGATTAGTGTTTTTACACATTTGAAATCATCAATCAATCATTGTTAGACCTCCCATCAGAAACATTGAAGCACTGGACGGCCGTTTCGTCCTGGTATGGGACTCATCGTCCGTGCTCATCCACGACTCCTGCACCAAGCAGGTTCTGAACCCAGGACCTCTTAGTTATTTTATTAACTAATTGTAGTTATGCCATAACTAACCATTCAGGTTGGTTTAGCGCTCACCACCCTATCTAGTCTGACCGGTCTGTAAACCTTCTTTGTTGTAAATGACCTATTGATTGAAGGATGTTATTATCTTATTATATTGATGTGACTCATGCTTTTATTCATTTTCCAAAGACACGCTGTTCTGGTCGGTACGTTTGCTCGTCTTACTTGATAATTGTAATTTCCCTCTTTATTGTACTAATGTAATTGTTTTTTATGTTTAGAAACAGATAAATTTTAAAACCAAGTTGACTTCATTTTTACTATAGCTTTAACACAGACTCTGTGCTCGCCAGCATTGCGCTTACTGTTCTAGAATTACATCTGTAGGACAAATTAAATCCTACAGGACCTTTGGTCTTGTGCGCGAATGCCTAACCTCTGGACCACTGAGCCGGTATCTAACGGTGTTAATGTCTAACTCTGATCAGTCTAGAGGTGCAGGAGTCATGGATGTGCACTGTTGATGAGTCCCACACCAGGACGAAACAGCCGTCTAATGCTTTCAGGTTTCTAATACTGGTCTGACAATGATTGATTGATGATTTCAATGTATACAATTTTATCAATTAGGTTCACTAACAATCATCATTTAGTAGAAATTCGTCGCCTATTTTTGAACTTTTGAACTACTACAAAATAAACCAATAAACATTAATTTAGCCAGTTGATCATTGATTTAAATTAAAATTGTATGTATATTGTTTGTAATACAATGTTTAACTAACTTACTTCCGGTAGACCTTGATTAGTATTGTCATCGTCAAGTTCTCTATAAAATGAAACGATTATGAGTAGAGAAATGACAAGAGAAAAAAGAAACTGTTTAACAATAAACACGATATAATTTAATTACTCAGTAGAAATACTCTGTAAGGGAATAACATTATTGTAGGCGTTGATTTTCAGGAGGTTTTCACTAGGAGCTGTGAGATCTGTGCGATGATGTAACTTGAAAATCAGACCGTGTCTGTAGTGATCACGTTGGGTGGAAATTTGCTTGGGACTGAAAACTATAAACTAATGGATGATAATTTATTGGTTGAAAATTATTATAGATTCCATAAAATCAAAAGTGAGCATGTGGTGGTCAATTTCTACGTGTTCTTAGTCTTGGTAATTAACTCGTCCAGACAATCGGTACTAAATAGCGTCTGACGGTTTATAAATTAGAAGGCGAATTCGAAGTGTTGAATACGTTTATATGGGACACAACACAAAGCGAAGCGAAGAAACAGTGAATAAAACGAAAGAACCGACGTGAATTGAAGAAGGCTGTTGAGCCAACTCCAAGAGATAGAGCATGACTAAGAATATATAGTCAGACAAAAATAAGACAGACATATGACAAGCGAAACAGGTATGCACACACATGAATAAAAGCGACGAATCATCGACAAGGTCAAAAGCAAGCGAGACAAGTCATGTGAGTTCATAGGGATATTAAGAGATTAACATTAAAGCGAAAAGGATGAGTAAGCGCGTAGGTGTAAGCAACGCTTAGTCATACAAGCTCATACAAACCAGACAATAAAAAATACCAATGGTACATATGGCTTGTTGCTATACCAACAGCTTGGTTACATTAGTTAGTCGAAAGGCTTAATCAAATTAAATATGAGCGAACTCAAGTTTATGCAGAGGCACTACAAGCATTTTATCTCTTATGAAGTAACGGAATTTTAGACGATGACAAATTAACTGTTTACCGATTCGTGATTTCTCAGGATCATTCAGTCGATATTATTCAATGGTATAATTATCTTTAGATAATATTTATGCCATTAATTAAACAAGATTTTTAATAAATATCGTGCATTCTAGTCGATAATGAATAGATTTTGAATAGATTTAAACTTGTAAGATTGCTTTTAAGACAAACATAATGCACTGGGAAATAGAAAACCATGTTCATTGATCGCAAAACACATAATTGAGACAGGACTTAAGATTGACATCAAGACAGCCTTCAAAATATTGTATAGCAATGTTGAAGGACGAATTTTTGAGGTTTATGGAGGCCTTGGCTAGAAACCTGGAAGCACTGAAACACGGCAGTTTCGTCCTGGTATGCGACTCATCAGCAATGCGCATCCTGGACTCCTGCATCTCGCAGGATCCGAACCCGGGATCTTCGGTATTGTGCGCGAAAGCCTAATCATTGGACCACCGAGCCGGCATCAAACATTGTAATGTCTAACTCTGATTGATCTAGGGATTTTGCGTGACCTCACCTATTTGTCTTCGTTAGTTACTGCCTACATCCGACAGGGTTGAACTGCACTGGTCACGTCTTCCCACTAGAACTTCGAGAATTTCTTCACGAAGCTAGTTGTCACTAGTGATCACATTTTACGATATTTTGAATTATAGTTATGGAGATTAGTGTTTCTACACATTTGAAATGATCAATCAATCATTGATAGACCACCATTATATAACTACTTACATGTAAATAAGTAGGCAAGTCTAGACAATGTCATTTGACGGCTAAATTATCAATCCACGTTTTTTTATTATGACAGTTTCAATTTCAGAAACTTTGAATAGAGTCACGATTTGAAATGATAAAAACACTTATTTGTAAATTCGATACACTTTTCATTGGAAAGATAAACCCAGATTAGCTTAATTAATTTGAGTGTTAATAAGTTTGAACTCTAGTGGAGGAGGAAATCACGAAGAAGTGGTGGAAGTGGTGTATAGGACACACACTACGAAAAGCACCTAACTGCTTCACGATACAAGCCCTCACATTGAACCCTCAAGGCAAAAGGAAAAGAGGAAGGCCAAAGAATACATTACGCCGAGAAATAGAGAAAGATATGAGAGGAATGAACAAACATTGGACAGAACTGGAGAGGGAAGCCCAGAACAGAGTTGGTTAGAGAAAACTGGTTTGTGGCCTATGCTGCATTGTGGGTAACCGAGGTAAGTAAGCAAGTAAGTAAGTAAGTAAGTTTGAACTATTATTTACGATTGCATACATCAGTACTTCTAAAACTTGCTATTAATTTTTCTGAAAGTATATACCATAGGATATGTATATTTGACTCTAGATATATATATTTTCCATTCAACATTATTTAAAACGTATGAGATAAGGAGAAAAATTTAGCCAAATCTCTTCCATTGGAATACACATGTTTTTTTCGTATAATTTTCGGTATAACCCAAAGTTGACTTACAATTCTGTAATGCCTGTTTGTGATAGAACACGTAGTATGAAAGATGCTTCAATATCCGGTTCAAATGTACTCGGTATAATTACATATGATCCTGGTGGTACACGAAATTGTGTTGTCACTTCACGTGTATTAATGAATTGTGATTTAGCTATTGGTTTTTTCATTAATAATTCTGCACGTGATAATAGTGTGTTTTGATCCTCAGGTGCCTTGTACAAGAAGAATACAAAAAAACACAAAAGGAATTTATAATTTAACTGTATAAGTCGGTTGTTTGTTTTTGATCTATGGATTTTAAAATGTTTACACAACATATTCAAATAGGATTGTGTACATAGGTATTTCACGTGAAACACTATGGTTGTTTCTAAAAATCATTAGTTCAAAAAAAAATCAATGAGAATTTTATTCATTACAATCATTTGTAGAATAAGTTGGTGGTTGATGTTTGCATTGTGTACAAATGTGATTGCTTGTAATGTATCACAAGATACTAGTTGTGTTGTATTCATGATTAAATAAGAGCTTTAAATGCTTGCACATTACAAATTGATGAATGCATTTTGTTACACAACTATACAAAAAGTAATCTCTTTCCGTTTAGGTACTAATAGGCAGTGTACAGAAAGAGACATACAGACAGACAGACAGATAGAACGCAGAATTTCGTACATAAGTACATCAGTTCAGGTTGCCATACCACATTAGCACACAAACGCAACTGTCAGTTCAAATCCAAGAGTGATAGCAATAATAGAAGTATTAGCAGTAATGGAGAAGATTAGTGAGAGAAGATATGATTTGGGAAGTATAATTCAGTGAGATAAATTTAGAAGGAGAAAGATAGAGATTATGAGAAATTCAGAAGGTTACAATTAAAAAGGCACACAAAGAGTGGAATCACCTGCGCCATTACAAACGATTCTGAGCCATGCCTATCGTCATGACCCAACTGAGCTATATTGGCTAGAACATATGTTCCTGAAGGTTCTACCATGCCAAGCAGGTCGATTGGAGAACGATGAGACTAAAAGCAGCTACCCAGGGTCTGAGGGCGAAGTCGTACTCTTGACTACTGAAGAGGGGTGTGACAGCAGTAAGGTGTTTCCCTCGGATAACCAGCATCTGCAGCGATGCTGCCTTCTCATAAGGAAGGAAGGGTTAGAAAATGTCGACCCTGAAAATGTCACACCTCACCCTACCTCACGGATTTCCGTCTCCTTGGGTAAATGTGCCCACTAAGGGCCTTTAAGAACGGAGCTAATCCTCAAAAAACCTTTCATAAAAAGGCCGTGCGTGATCGGCCTCAAGCAGTTGTCCCTTGGACTCTGCGGTCACGCACCCAGGTCTCTAAGACCAACATTAATCTATCTTCCTTTTCAGGTTCCTCAAGAAACAACCTTCCACGGTGTGGGCAGCCGGGAAGTGACAACCGCCCACATACCCGTAACAGAACACGAGGCCAAACTGGTCAAAATCAACAGGAAGTGTACAATAGGTTCTTTGTTCATTGTAAAAAAACAATTGAAGTGAATAATCATTCTGATCAGATAGATTTATTTGTTCTGTTCTTTTTTTTTAATATAACAACATAATTCATACAAACAAGGTCCTGGGTTCGAATCCTGCGAGGTGCAGGAGTTGTGTATACGCTCACCACCACTGATGAGTCGCATACCAGGGCGAAACGGCCGTCTTTCAATGCTTCCCGGTTTCTAATGATTGATTAAATGATTTCAATGTGCAACAAACATTGATCTACATAACTCTAATTAAGAAAAATATAGTTTACAGTTGATTTCCTAACATGAGATTATTTATTCTCTGAATCAATGTCTCATTGAAGATAACACCTTTTAAATAGTTAACTGGAATTAAGGTGTCTTCTACCTTGTCATGACTATTCTATTTCACTGGTTTCTGTAAGCTTTCAACTAGCATAAATATCTTCTTCATACGTTTATTGCTTTGTTAAGAATAAATTTAATGCGCAAATAAATTCAAAGATTCGGACTACCGGGTTGATAATGATGATAATATGGACTGATCCATGATTATAGATCAAGTCGTTAATTATTCATTGAGTCTACTATTCCGTTAGTCAGTTGTATATCTTAGTATTTCGAGGAAATAGAACTATTTCTTCTTCTTTGGTCAAATAATTATAATAAAAAAACTCATTTACATGAATTAACTGAATGGTATTTTACGAAAATTTACGAAACATGCAGTCACGTTAAATTCCTCCTGATTTACAAACATCACCCTATGTGGCATAAATCATTCTCAAGTTTTCTTTTTATACATTTGAAATCATCAATCGATCACTGTTAGACCACCGTTAGAAACCTGGAAGAACTGAAACACGGCCGTTTCGTCCTGGTATGGGACTCATCAGTGGTAGTGCGCATCCACGACTCCTGCTCCTCGCAGGATTCGAACCCAGGACCTTCGGTATTGTGCGCGAACGCCCTAACCGTCGGACCACTGGGCCGGCGGCATCTAACGGTGTTAATGTCTAACTCTGATTGATCATTTTATGTTCAATTCATATTCACCAGAAGAACTTACATCATACATCATAAAACCGATAAATTTAAACTCTGCACCAGCTTTCTTTCTGATATCTTTTTGCATTAAACCAATAAGTATGGAACATAGATTATCATTGTCATCAGGATCTGGATCTACAACGGTAATGCGAAATTGTGGATTCGTCCAATAGGTACCTTTTCATTAAATAAGTGGAAAAAAAAATAAATTAGTTTCACATGATAACATTATTTGAATTGATATTTATTAAATCAAAGTGAATTTTGTTTATCAATAATCCAATATCACTGTTGATTGTCATTCAGTGGTATTTGTGAGTCAATATCATTGAACTTATTGCTTGCTGTATGTTACTGTCTTACTTGAATTCATTAGGTGAATGTGTGATAACTGTTACATTCGTTTAGTTCACCTGAATAGAATAATGAGAACGAGACAATGAACCGGCGTCCAGGTAGGCTACTTGTTAGGATATTCATCCAATATCCTAAGAGAATTATTGGTCAAATCCTATTGGTCGGTTTCTATTGGTCAAAATTATGGTCGTTATAACTGTCAAAGTCAAATACTTCAGTGTTGTTTCTTATTGGTTGTCCTGACTATCAGTGTCACTTCAAGTGTTACTTCCTATTGGTCGTCTTAACTGTCAATGTCACAGAATTCGATGCTGCTTCCTATTCGACCAAAATGTATAAATAGGCATTATTTGTAACGTTTATTGACCACGACCAGGACCAGGGCTCGGTGCCGGATCCCTAGTCCGGGATCCTGATTCTCTTCTGGATTCGGACCTCGTACTTTCTGGATGCTTGTAGAATACAGGTTCTACTTCATACCATGTCTTCTTATTTTAACTAAATATGAGGGTTGTAATAATCGGATTTGAGTAACATGTCGCGTCACCGGATCCTCGTTCTCCTTTCCGACTAGGTAAACTCGTAATAGTTCAAGTATATCAAGTTGACGTGTTTACGTGCAGGCGTAACACTACTCTAATCCATTGACCCAAATATACTAACAACAAGTCTTGATATAGTGTAGAAAGTGTATTCTACAAACACAGCACAGCCAGCAAGCACACAATGAACCAAGCACACAAATCGAGTTTATTTATGCACCATAGAGACGTCCTTGGGAGAGTCACGAAAATAGCACACTAAAATAACACAGCAACCAATCACAGACAAGGATTTCCCTGGTGAGAAATCTGATCTCAAGGTCAATCAATCAGCCCATGAATAAAATCCAAAATAAAGATATTTATCAAGCGAGTTCTGGGGCTAGTTGTATGGTTTTTTTGAGCAAGAAAATGAAAATTCTAATTAGCTTGTACTTGGAAAAAAAAATCCAACTTACTGCGATTATTCACACAACCACCAGCATTCACTTTACATAGCCATTGACCAGAGAATATTGCTTCATCTAATCGTCTTTTTCCTTGGAAATTTTGATTATACTCTAAACTTTCAAGACCTAAATGACAAACTTCAACTCGTGTAAAACAATTAACAAAATCTTCATAGGACATCCTGCATGCGAATAAAAAGAAACAAATCAGAAAGAAAACAACTCAAATTTAGTTAAGGTTATGAACTGAATCTCAAGTTAAATGATTAATTTTTTTGTAGTGAGTGATTAATGAAATTTATATGATTGAGAATTGATTTCATTTTGTGAATGAACATACAGTGAGTGCCCTTGATGCTATTTATTCACGAATTTATATTGAGTTGGTTCTTAGCCTTCTCCAATTCCGCTTCACTTTGTGGTGTGTCCCGAATAAACGTATTCATTACTACGAATTCATCTTCTGATTTATAAACTGTCAGATGCTACTTAGTGACGATCGTCTGGACGAGTTAATTACCGAGCTTAAGAACACGCAGTAAATTGACACACCACAATATGAACCGAAAAATTGCTGTTAACTTTAGGTCACTAGACGTTAATTACTTCTCATTCCGAGGTTTTTCATTTATGTACATGCATCGATGCTTAACAGGATCAAATTTAAAGGCTATGGAGTTGATGAATATCACTAGTTTACACTTGGAATTCCAACTTATTTTGCAATGATTTAATCCAATCAGTGATATCAATCTCAATCTAGACAATGTTGGGTCACATCGACTATGGACTGCACCACATAGTATGATGTCATGAATGAGTGAGTACATGATCACAGCCTCCACTAATCCCTGTCTCAAAAAACCTTTACTTGAAAAGTGATCTAGGAGGTGATGTGTTGTGATTAAGATAGAGGAGATATCCTTTCTACCAGACAAACTATGGAAAGTACTTCATCCCAACTCAAGAAACCAATCGACTGTTATCAGATTGACCAAACTTACATTGAAGAAACTGATTACTCGTAGTTGTGATTATGTGAATTCAACTAAAATCCTGTTGCGGTTACATTTGTAATTAGTCATAAAAATAAATGAAAATTTTAACTTGGATATAGAACGTTCTGGTAATATGCCAATTTTTCTGACATTTCTTATATTCTTTATATTAATTAGACAAGCTTTTTAGGAAATATTAAAATAAGGAACCAATAATTATTAGACCACCATTAGAAAGCTAGAAGCACTGAACAACCGTTTCATCCTAGTATAGGAATCATCAGCATTGAGCATCCATGAATCCCTCCTAATTGCGGGAATCGAACCCAGGGCCTTCCTCCTTGCATGTGAAAGCCTAACCTCCGGACCACTGAGCCGGCATCCAACAGTGTATATGTCTAACTTTGATCAATCTAAGGTTTTTGTGCAACCTCACCCATTGTCTCCAGTAGTTACTGACCACATGTGACCGGGTTGAGCTCCACTGGTCACTTCTTCTTACTAGGACTCCAAGAATTACCTCACAAACTTTGTCACTCGTGAGGAGTACATTGTACAATTTTTCATGGAGATCAATGTTTATCATTGAAATCATTATTATGAAATAATAATAATATTATGTTGAATCAAACACAATGTGAAATGGAATTAACAACATTTAAAGTAATGTGAAAGTACTCAATTATTGGTTATAGTGGTGATCAGATTTAATCTTAAATTTCCTTGAATTTGCAACTTGATTTCGAATAAATAATCGTGTTTAACTACGTTTCGATAGAGAACTAGCTACAGATTTAAGGAAGATGGTTATTAGTTTATTCTACAAGGGAACAAAACTCATTTTAGATCAATCAGAGTTAGACATTAACACCGTTGGATGCCGGCCCAGTGGTCCGATGGTAAGGCGTTCGCCTACAGTGCCCAAGGTTCCGGGTTCGAATCCTGCGAGGAGCAGGAATCGTGGAAGCGCACTGCCGATGAGTCCCATGCCAAGACGAAACGGCCGTCCAGTGCTTGCAGGTTTCTAATGGTGGTCTAACAATCATTGATTGATGAATTCAAATGTGTAAAGACGCAAACCTCCAAAAAAACTGTGCCCTAAAATACGGACTTTTTTGTTCAGAATGTAGCATCTCATCATTCATTCATTGTACTTTCGTTTAAATTATTTGATAATTACATTGATTGTGTGTGGATGCTTACTCGCTTATCATATATGTCTAGCCTATTATTGCTTGACTATAAATACTACTTAGCCACTGTTCAGCTCATGGAGAGTTGGCTCACTCGCCTTCTTCAATTCGCTTCGTTTTGCTTGTACGCGCTTCCCTTCTCATGTTTGTCTGCATAAATGAACACGTATGAAATAAATTCATCCGCAACACCCTTATTTGGCCTCTTACTACCGCCGTGGTTAGTGGGAGTGGATAGGAAGATTTGTTTCATCGTGCACTCGATCATATGTCTACATTGAAATCCAGTAGTAGTGAGCCGCAAAAAAAAAGTTACTTTTTTGACAACAACATATTTCCTTACCAAAATTCTCCATCTGCAGTAAATTTCAAATGAATATTTTGTTTTTGTTGTTCACTGATTTCACGCCATTGCGGTGCACCATCACACCATGCACCTTTCCATTCATGACTATCACCCCATGGATTACGTAGACGCATTAACCATTGAGTTCGACCTCGGTACTCGACCTTTTTTATATAAAAAAGTACAAGAAATGAAAAGGTGGAAGGAGATATTCAACTGCATATTAAGTAGGAATAAGTTAGGTAAGATTATATAACATAACTCTGTATATTGGACTTTTCAAATAAACCAGTCAGTCAGTCAGTCAGTTGCAACGTAGAACTTCGTACGTATGTACATAAGTCCAGGGTTGCCACATCACAATAACACAGAGACACAATTCTCAAATCAAATCCCATAGTGATAAAGGTAGTAGAGGTATTAATGGTAATGAAGAAGACTAGGGTTTGAAGATATTATTCAAGAAGTATAATTCAGTGAGAAAAGTTTAGATAATCAAAACTAGAGGTGTTGAAGAATCCAGAAGATTAGGATTTGAGAGAGCTCAACGAATGGATGCACTTGCGCCATTGCAAACGATTTTGAGCCTTGTCGTTCAAGGTCTCTAACCATTGGTGACTTTCGTCTCGCGGACCCCAACCAGGTAGTCTACAACTACCAACATGACTCAGTCCACTTGTCAATGACTTCATGGATTTGTTCCAAGTTTTGGTCTGGCCACCCTTAGCGAAAAGATGGTTTATAACAAGTTAATACATGTTAATTGTTAGATATATATGTATTGATTTACATTCTTGAATCATTTTGTTGTTACTGAAGTTGAGATCATTTCAAACAAATGCAACCCAACTCTAATCAATCCTTCATATGTTAACTACGAAATAAGTGTTTACATTGTAACATATGCTATCCATTATATAAGTAAGTAGTAAGAGCCAGTGAGAAAATGTATTATTTCTACTATTAGACTACTATTAAGCTTCAATATAATTTTAATATCATTTATAACTTACCGGATATACACCTGTTAAACTGTATGCATGACCACCAATAAGTCCATTATCCATTTTTTGTTCTACAACTGATGACTATAGGAAAATAAAATGTTCGATCAGTAGCGCATTCAATTGAAGATACAAATTTTTTTGATCATTATTAAAATATACGTATACTTATCACATTAGTACTCCGAGGCGCTACCACCCATCCCAAGCTAGGATAAAAGAGGAGGGTCGAGCTTGATGTTGGCAACCTCATCTGGTAGAAAACTAAGTCGCTAAAAATCGCTAACCAGAAAAAAATAATTCTAATCATTTAAACTCTGTCCTTGTAGCTGAAAGGTCTTTGCTTAGAAGATTTATGACGTCTCATGATCAGAATCGAGTTTCTTTCGGAAGTCACGAAGACGATGCCTCTTCTAACAACCAGCTTAACTATTAATTGAAGTGCATAATATGTTCATACAATCTAAGCGACTGGGAGAACCATTGAAGCTTCCGAAGAAATGAAGAGATAAAACCTGGTGGTACTTGAAATCAGTGAAATTCGTTGGACGCAGGTTGGGCAACAAAGACTAGCTTCAGGAGAGATGCTATTGTATTCAGGCCATGAAGAAGAAAATTCCTAACAAACACAAGAGGAACTGTACTGACGCTGTCTACAGAAGCGCAGAAAGTACTGATAGGATTGGAATCACATGGATATGAGATCTTCAAAGCCTCCTTCAAAACAAAGAATAGGGGGATTACAATGAATATCGTTCAATGTTATGCTCCCACCAACGATTACAATTAAGAAGATAAAGATCAATTTTGTGCGAGTTTACAGTCAAGAAATGCTCAATGCAATACTTAACCATTGTGAAGGGGGATGCGAATGCCGGGGCTAAAATGGACAACACCGGACATGAAGACATCTTGGGATGACATGGACTAGGAGAAGGCAACGGAAACGATGAGAGATTCGGAAATCTGTGTGCCTTCAACAAACAAGTCATAGGCAGCGCCATATTCCCATCTAAATACATAATCAAAGCGACATCAGCTTCATTGCATCACACTACACAGAACTAAATTGATCACGTCTGCATCAGCAATAAGTTCAGAAGGATTATCAAGGACGTAAGAACCAAGAGACAAGCTGATATAGCCTCAGATCATCACTTACTGGTCGCCAAGATGAAAAGGAAATTCAAGAAGCACTGGACAGCTGGCCAAACAACATCAAAAAAGTCCAATACGCACTTTCTTCGGAATATCCGCAAACTCAACGAATTCAAAAAAGCCCTCAGCAATAAGTTCCATGCCTTTCACCACCTACTTAATGGAGAGGAAACAATCATGGAAAACAACTGGAAAGGGATAGAGGAAGCAACCACTTCAACATGTCGTAAGGTACCTTCATAAGAAGTACCATCACAAGGAATGGATCTCTGTTGGTAGTCTTGAAAATATTGGAGAAAGGAGGAACAAGAAGGCGATAATCAAAATCAGTCGAACAAGGGCAGAAAAAGCCAAGACACAAACTGAATAGAGAGAAGCAAGCAAGCAAGTGAATCAGAGCCGACAAACGTAAATATGTGGAGGATCTAGCAATGACAGCCGATTAAACTGCAGGAGAAGGAAACTTGAGACAGCTGTACGATACAACAAAGAAGCTCACTGGAAACTATCGTAGACCAGAACGACTAGTGAAAAGCAAGGAAGGCAAAGTAATCAGCAACACTGAAGAACAGCGAAATAGGTGGGTAGAGCACTTTAAGGAATTCTAGAATCGATCAGCTCCACTGAACCCACCCAACATCGAAGCAGCATCCACGGACCTCACAATTAATACTGGCGCACCTACGATTGAGGAGATCAGTATGGCCATCAGACAAATCAAGAGCGGCAAAGCAGCAGGACCAGACAACATTCCAGCAGAGGCAATGAAAGCAGACATGGAAGCAACTGCAAAAATATTTCACATTCTCTTCAACAAGATTCGGGATGAAGAACAAGTACCAACAGACTGAAAAGAAGGATACTTCATCAAAATACCAAAGAAAGGCGATCACAGCAAGTGTTAGTAGCACAGAGGCATCGCTCTAATATCAGCATCAAGAAAAGTCTTCAGATGATTGTTTTTACACAGAATGAATGACTCCTCTGACCCCGCTACCAGATTCGAGATCAGCATGTTGGACTCTGTTAAGATCGACCATGTAACGAGTGAGTCGCGACTCTCTGGTTCATTGTGGAATAATCAACTGAACGGAATTCACCACTGTGTACCAACTTCATTGAATTCAAGAAAACATTCGACATCATGGACAGGATGACACTATGTAAACTTCTTTGACACTACATCACCTAAATCCATATATACTTTAATTCAATTGTGAGATGGTGGACATCATGGTTTCATTAGCTGTACACTATTTTATGGTAGATTTAATCTTAAATAAATGAGTACTTTCAAGTCTTATTGGTATGGTCGAATTGATAACTTACATCAATACTACAACCCATCAGGCAACAACGTTGTGCATAGACTTTAAGTTGATCTAAGAGATCTTTTGGACGATCATTTTGATTTAATTCAATTGGTAAACAAATTCCACCAGTTAAATCTTCCATCGCTTCAGATTGTGTTCCTCCAGATAAATGAGCATAACAACCATTTAATCTATCCGTTGAAAATATGATGAACGGGGGAAAAAATATAAGAAACACTTAACCATTTTGTATTATTTCTACATAAAAGTATAATGTTTTAATGTAGTTTAAGCAGTGATCAAATAGCTTAGTGAACAAACTTCGATTATGGTGGTGTTTGGTTCTCTGAGCTGGGTGTTTTGGTTGTGGAGCTTTCATTATTCTCCTGCTGAACAACAACATCATCAGCACAAACTTCTTCAGATACAATTGAAGTATTCAAATTTCTTCACGTTTAACTTGTAGCTTGTTCTGTTAACCTCGATCTTGATTGATTGCTGTTGACCTTAAACCTGTCGTTGTTTGCACCTTTGTGTTTTGATTGTATCCTCCTTTTGATCTGTTTCTTGATCCTATGTCACCTATGATCAGCAATCAACAAACACATCAACATTGACCCAATTTATCAACCAATCACGAAAATCATAGGTGACATAGGATCAAGAAACAGATCAAAAGGAGGATACAATCAAAACACAAAGGTGCAAACAACGACAGGTTTAAGGTCAGCAGCAACCATTCAAGAATAAGCTACGGGTTAAACGTGGAGAAAATCAAATACTTCACTTCTATCTGAGGTTTGTGCTGATGATGTTGTTCAGCAGGAGAACGATTGAACCTCCACAACGAAAACATCCAGCTCAGAGAACCAAACACCATCACCACAATCATCCACCTGAGGTACAAATCTTCTCCACCATCTCAAAACTTCGGTTATTTAATCGAGTCTTATGAAATAACAAAAGTAGATTAATGAATAATTTTCCAAATTGCATTTACTAACTACACTTGTTTAACATATGAAGCCTAAAGGTTTTTAAATGAGACATGAATATAATTTGAAAAACTCTAATCTATATTACATGTCAAGGTATGGTTATGTAGTACATTCCATTTAAAATAATTCGAACATTATATGGATATCGGTTTTGTTGTTAGATATTTGTAGAGCAATGGTTTATTGGTTAAGTCATCTATTCTTCAACCAATTGGTCATAGGTCCAGGTCTCGTTATGTGAATGCATTTACAGTTTAACTGATTCTATGTAACTGTTTTAATGATGAAGCGCTTATTGTACACGAGCATAATACCACACCCTAAGCAACAATGCAAGCATGTTAGGAATGCGGTTTTCCTCTTCGAAATGCAAAATGTTGCTTCAAGATTGGATTGCATCGGCACCTGAACTAGTGATAGGGAGTGAAGTAGTCGAACCTGTAGACCGCTTCACATATCTGGGAAGTCTCATCAGTACTAATGACCTGGTGACTGACGAAATCTCAGCTCGGATACAGAAGGCTCGATTGGCTTTTGCCAACCTGCGTCACTTATGGCGTAGACGAGATATCCGTTTGCTGACTAAAGGACGAGTGTACTGCACTGTGTAGTTCGCTCCGTCTTACTTTATGACTGTGAAACATGGCCAGTGAGAGTAGAAGATACTCGTCGGTCATTGGTTTTCGATCATAGGTGTCTTCGAAGCATTGCTCGTATATCGTGGGACACCCGAGTGAGCAACGCTGTTATTGGGAAACGGGTGATAGGTAAGAATGGCAGGTCAATAGATGAAATGCCTAAACTTCATCAGTTGAGGTGGTTGGGACAGGTGCTGAGTATGCCTAACCACCGACTGCCTCGACGAGCTTTGTTTTGTGGAGTAGGAATAGGTTGGAAGAAAGTTAGGGGCGGCCAAACCAAAACATGGCACAAATCCATGAAGTCACTGACAAGTGGACTGAGTCATGTTGGTAGATATAGGCTACCTGGTTGTGGTCCGTGAGACGAAAGTCATCAATGGTTAGAGACCTCGAATGAAGTGGCTCAAAGTTGTTTGCCGTGGAGCAGGTGCATCCACTCTTTGTGTTCTCTCTAATTCTAACCTCCTAAATTCCTCATCATCATTATCTTTCTCCTTCTAAATTTATCTCACTGAATTATACTTCTCGAATCATATCTTCTCTCAGTAATCTTCTCCATTACTGCTAATACTTCTACTATCACTATCACTCTTGGATTTGTGTGCTAATGTGGTATGGCAACCTGAACTGATGTACTCATGTACAAAGTTCTTTGTACGTATCTGACTGTCTGTCTGTATGATACCACATATATATATGTGATATGTTACAAGGATAACAAACATGATTTTATATTATGTTTGGGTAGTCATATTATTATATATTGTCATGGATTTGATAGTGAACTATTACGAATTCTCAAGGTTATTTATTAGTTATACTAAAGCTTAACTGAACAAATACTACGCTGATTATTGAATAAAATCATTGAGAATATTTGGCAAAATGAAGATGACAATTAGAAGTAGGTCATAAACATATTTGAATTACAGATGTTTTTTTGTGTGTACACAATGAACCATTCGTGTCAACGATGACCGATATTTATGTGTAGTTTTAGAATTCAGTACAGTACAGTGATTTAGCTTTACAAAATGTTTTAGCCTCTCTATCATAATTCAGGCTAAACGAAAGAGTTGGACATTTGGCCTAATTCAAAAAGGAAGCAATCATGATCTGTTAAAATAAAATAATCCCAATCGATATGGACAATATTTCATTTAAACGAATGTTTTCCAATTTCAGCAGGTAAAGTGTTCATTTTCCTTATCATAGTGTAGTTAACGAGAACACAGGTGAGGGCAACCGAATCTTATTTTACGAAAATTACAGTTACTCAGTAAAATCGGAAAACCATATCGTAAATCGTTCATTTGCAAAATATCAGTTCATCATATCGAACTGGACTGCTGTTTCTGTTGCAAAACATCAATCCATTGTCACTATTCATGCGTTTCATACAATTTCCATTGTTTTCTAACTCTTCCTTTCTTGATCTTCCCCCATCTTCTGCTGCCAGACATTACGTTGACACTCACGTCATATACTACTTATAAGTAGCGAGCACCACAACAGTATTTATTTAAATACATAAAAGAATACGGATATTTTCTGCAGAAGTCTTGAATAATATTGACTAAAGCTTTGATCATTATAATCCATACGAGTGCTGAAGGTAGTTAGTAAGGTAGGTGTATAGTGAAAAGTTTGATATGATTATGAATGTGGTCGAGGATAGACAGCCATTGAAAATCTTGTCAACTACTGTCAAGTGATATTATATCATGTATTTTATTGTCTACTCCACTCATATCTTTCTCTCTTGAAATTTTCTAATAGGAAAACACACTAATAAAAGCGAAAGTACAGTAAAGAAACTTTGTAGCTCAGGTGGATGATTGTGGTGGCGGTGTTTCATTCTCTGAGCTGAATGTTTTGGTTGTGAAGCTTTCATTGTTCTCCTGCTGAACAATAACAACACATCGACACTGACCCAATTTACCAAACCAATCAGAAAAATCATAGGCGATATAGGATCAAGAAGCAGATCATAAGGAGGATACAATCAAAACACAAAGTGGCAAACAACGACAGGGTTAAGGTCAACAACATACAATCATCAAGATCGAGATTAACAGAACAAGCTACAGGTTAAACATGGAGAAATTCGAATACTTCACTGCTTCTATCTGAAGAAGTTTGTGCTGATGATGTTGTTGTTCAGCAGGAGAATAATGAAAGCTCCACAATCAAAACATCCAGCCCACCACAAGAAGCAAAAGTTTAGCACATATATACCATGAGCCGAACAAGTTCCATGAGCTAACCTGATGAAGAACGTATATTTACGTATATGTTGCTAAATAAAATTTCTATGGATTCTTATTTTCTTCAAACCATTTTATTTGATTCTAGTTATATTATTTACTTAGTCCACGTATATCTGTGAGCGATTATTGATTATTTTATCGTGATAAAAGAAGAGTAATTGAAACGTGTTAGCAAATTGTATGCTGAGAATTCTGTATTGTACTAAACATTCAGTACTTAATAAAAACATCAATAATAATAATAATAATAACATTCATAGAAATGGGAATAAAAAATAAACATTTTATTAAAGAGATGAATCAGGTATGATAACTTCTATCAGACACTTTGATAAAATTTAGTAAACCCTGATATTTGAGTTAAACAGTTCCGGGAACACCACAGAACATAAATGATTTGTCCTTAAGACTTAGATGACACGATATTAATTCAGTCAGTCAGTTGCAACGTAGAACTTCGTACATAAGTACAAAGGTTCATGTTGCCATACCACATTAGCACAGAGACGCAAATGTCAAATCGAATCCCATAGTGATAGAGATAGTAGAGGTATTAATGGTTATGAAGAAGAATAGGGTTCAAAGATATAATTCAAGAAGTATAATTCAGTGAGATAAGGTTAGAAAGACAAAGGTAGGGGTGCTGACGAATCCAGAAGATCAGGATTTGAGAGAGCTCAACGAATGGATGCACTTGCGCCATTGCAAACGATTTTGACCCATGTCGTTCAAGGTCTCTAACCATTGGTGACTTTCGTCTCGCGGAACCCAACCAGGTAGTCTACATCTACCAACATGACTCAGTCCACTAGTCAGTGACTTCATGGATTTGTGCCATGTTTTGGTCTGGCCGCAGCTAGCTTTCCTCCTACCTACTCCTTCACCACAAAACATAGCTCGTCGATTGACTGAAAAGTATAATTAGATGAATTGTTTTCTGATATTGGTGAACATTTGTTGTTGAATAAACACTATCACACTTACTTTGCATATGCTTTTTCTAACAAAGCTGACCAAAATTCAGTAGGATCATTGGAATGCATAAAAACAAGTTGATTACGTCCTTGACGAACTGGAAGACGATCATCAATAAGCACTTCGACCCATTGACCGAAACGCCAAAATCGAAAGCGTACAATACCAACATAATCTGGTCCTTTTAGTTCTTGATTTTTAGGTACCACCTGATCAAATAATTGTGGATAACCTGCTATAGAAGCCACAACTGCAAGTAACCAACAATCACCTGAATGATTTTGCAAAATAAAGAAAAAAATCCACTGTCATTTTATTTAAATGCAATTAACTTTAAACTTCCGCGAGTTAAAATGACTGATTACATTATTTTATGTAATAATTAGTTACCAGTCATGTACAGATCAAAGGGTACGATTTTTTTAACTTATCCAAGTCCACTAACTGGATTAGTTGATAAGCAACAGAAGAGAAGAGCTTATAACAACCATCTATCAATATTCATCGTTTTACTTCCTCTGTATGCAAAAAGTATCCTACTAATTTCTTTTATTTTTATTGGGGACGTTAGATCCCCAGAACTCGTTTGATAAATATCTTTATCATATGCTTTCTCGTAGTCAATAAAACTGATTTAGAGTGGTGAATCCCATCCACAACCATCCGTAGTGTGATGATTTGGTCGATACATGATCGATTCTTACGAAATCCAGCCTGCTGATCTCAAATTTTGGTGTCTACGGGATCTTTTGTTTTGTTCAGCAACACTCTGTTGGAGACATTTACCGGTACTGAGAAAAGAGTGATCTATATCTCTGTAGATCTCACACCTACTGAGATCTCCATTCTTTGGTGTTTTGATGAGGTGTCCTTCTTTCTAGACTGTGTTGGTACTTGTTCTTAATCCCAAATCTTTCTCAACGCATAGTGCAGGATCATTGCAGTTACTGTTATGTCTGCTTTCATTGCCTCTGCTGGTATGTTGTCTCGTCCTGTTGCTTTGTGTCTTTTGATTTGTCTGATAGTCATGTTAACTTCTTCAATTGTTGGTGGGTCAACATTAATTGGGAGGTTTGTGTTTGTTGATTTGATGTTGGATGGGCTGACTGAAGCTCGTCTATTCAAAAGTTCTTCAAAGGGCCCTACTCACATATTTCGCTGACCTTCAATTTCAATGATTGATTTACCTTCCTTGTTCTTTACTGGTCTTCCTCCCGGGTTTACAATATTTTCCAGCAAGCTTACTAATAAAATAAGGTTACTAGTGGTTACAGTAATGGAAATCACTTTTGTGTACAATTTACTTCTTTCCGTTATGAATAATCGTGAAACGTGATGAAAATTCGTTTGGAATATACCTTAGTAAATACATTTGCATATTAATATAATGGAAAATGTTAGACGTGTTGAGGACGTTAGATCCCCAGAACTTGCTTGATAAATATCTTTATTTTGGATTTTATTCATGGGCTGATCAATTGACCTTGAGATCACATTTCTCACCAGGGAAATCCTTGTCTGTGATTGGTCGCTGTGTTATTTTAGTGTGCTATTTTTCTGACTCTCTCAAGGCCGTTTCTATGATGAATATATAAACGCGATTTGTGTGCTTTGATTCATTATGTGCTTGCTGGCTGGGCTGTGTTTGTAGAATGGACTTTCTACACTATATCAAGACTTGTTGTGTTAGTACATTTGGGTCAATGGATTAGAGTAGCCTATCGTGGAGGCTGCTTTATTGTCTCGTTCTTGTTTATCGACTAAGCTGAACCGGTAATAACTTTAGTTTTGATGTTGTAAGGAAATCGATAAGATAATTTTTATCAACTATTATATGCTATATCGTTCAGCTCCAATCTATTCCGTAATCATTGAACGTATGTTTTTTTCTAATATTTCTATGTGAACATTTTTCAGATCAATTGAATTCAATTTTAGATTCGAATAACCAGATATATAAAATTCATAGACAAGAAACTCTAAGTTGTAATGATGAGAAACATGATGAAACTTTGAAAAAAAATTTCAATAATTGTTCACTGGAATAACTAACTGTATTTACGCACAGATTTATTTATGCCATAAAATGTGAGAAAGATTTCGCTTTGATAATAATTCGGCATTGATTATTACTTATACTAACTAATTGTTGAAGAACAAACACCTTTACAAAAATTGGTCCACTACAGAGTTGTTTTTTCTTTAATCCTATCATGATATTATTGTTTAAAGCTACCGGAAATTTTATACTCAATAAATAAGGTCATCGATATGTACAATGTGACCATTATTCAATCTGTTATTTGGAATCGATATATATATATTAACTGTTTTTTGCAACCATGAATCGATCAATGTTAGACCACTATTAGAAATCTGGAAGCACTAGACGGCCGTTTCGTCCTGGTATGGGACTCCTCAGCGGTGCGCATCCACGACTCCTGCACGCCGCAGGATTCGAACCCAGCACCTTCGGTCTTGTGCGCAAACGCCCTGACCACTAGACCACTGAGCCGTTCTTAAAGATTGTGAAACTTAACAATATTCACAACTCCGTAATGCAAATTACATGTGCTCACTAGTGACTTGCTTCGTGAGGAATCTTCTCTGAGTTCTAGTGGGAAGACTTGACCAGTGGAGTTCAACCTGTTCGGATGTAGGCAGTGTCTACCGAAGAATGCGTATGAGGTTGCGCAACTCCATGAATTTGATCAAGTTGGACATCGGCTCAGTGGTCTGACGGTTAAGGCGTTCGCGCGCAATACCGAAGGTCTCGGGTTCGAATCCCGCGGGGTGCAGGAGTCGTGGATGCACACTGCTGAGGAGTCCCATACTAGGACGAAACGGCCGTCCAGTGCTTCCAGGTTTCTAATGATGGTCTAACATTGATCGATTCATGATTTCAAAAATTGTGTAACTTAACAATCTTCACAACTCCGTAATGCATATATTAACTGGTCAATATCCCTATGATTTAAGCTCCATGTGATGTTTAGTGTTTTACTCTATTAGAATATGAAGGGTAGTTGAAGAGAAAAAATAATAATGTAGCAAACGGATGAATTTTTTTAGTAGATCGGATTCAATTCACAAATAATAATAACTTCACATGTAGTGAAACTTTCTTTGAAGTTGAAATTGGGTTTATGCTTTCATAGGTAAATTAATCTCTTGATTTGTGCATTCATTTAAACTATTTCTCTTTGTCTGCCAACTCATAGTTTGTTTCCGTGCTAAGCTCCTTAGAGTTCTACTTAACGATAGCAAAGACATGAGTATATTTCGGGAACAACTAGAAAAATAGTTAGGCAGACATGTAAGTGATGAACATCCGGAGGCAGATTGGAATGATATCCAGAAAGCTGTTGAAACAGCAGTGATATCTATCAGTAAGGCAAACTATTAGGTTAGGAGGAAACAGTGGATATCGCTAACACCTACTGAAATAATAGGTGCTCGGAAACTAATCTCATCTGTATCTGAACATGACGAGAAGCGGAGTCAGCTTATGCTCAGTCTGGTAAAAAGCCTACGCAATGATCTCGAACAATGGTGGGTAGCGAAAGCAAGAGAGATGGAAAAGGCGGCAGCAATAGGTGACAGTAGATAACTACACAGACTTATGAAGGAAATGGGTAATAGAAATCAGACTGTTAGCGAGACTGTTTCGGAAAAGGATGGGTATATTAATCATTCTCAATCCAGGAGATTGGCTTGATGAGCAGAGCCCTTCAAGGATCCATTCAACTGAACTTCAGCCACACTTAGGTTGCCCACAATCTCCACTCAACATGAATGTCGAGTTGATGTAAGTCCTCTGAACTATCTTCAGGCAATTTAATGCAAGAGAAAGCAGCCCTGCTGAAAGACTAAACCCTAAGATTTTTAACCATTGTAGTGCAGTTTTAGCAGTTAAACTGCCTGAGATCTTAGTCAGAGTTAGGGAACTAGAAGTAATCCCATCTGGTTGGCCTCAATCACTGATAGTCCCAGTCATTAAAAAAGGCGAAAGTTACCTTGTGACAATCACAGAGGAATCATTTTGATCAATCTGTTGTCTAAAATACCAGCTTTAGTAATACTGTGGGGTCTGACTAGGGCAGACTCAGAAAAACTAGGCTGGTTTCAGACCTGGACAGAGACTACATGCTCACACTTCGACAGGTCCTGGGACATAGACACACATTCAGGCATCTGACATTAGTTATTTTCCTGAACCTTAGGGAGGGATTTGGCAGCGTTGGTCGTAAGGTTCTGTGGTAGTGTCTCTTTTTGAAAGGTGTACCAGAGAAGTACATCAACCTTATACATGCTTTCTGCTTGAACACTACTGGTCGAGTGAGAGCTTATGGTGAACTGTAGTCGTAAGTGACTTATCCAAGTACATTGTCCACTTTCTCTATTCATATTCAACTTCATCATTGATATGCTTTTAGAGACGACACTTTCATCATCCGACTTTTATGGAGTTGACCTTCTACCAGGAAATTCACTCTTTGACTTAGAATATACCGATGACATAGTTCTTTTTGATGAAGACGCTGACCAAATGCAGAATCTCCTTAGACAACAGTGCAAGAATGTTTGGGATGTGAATCTCCCCATCGAAATGCAAAATTTTGCTTCAGGATTGGCTTACGTCGACATCTGAGCTAGTGATAGGGAGTGAAGTAACTGAGCGTGTTGACGGCTCTATTTATTTTGCAAGTCTCATCATTGCTGATGGTCTGGTGTGTAACTAAATCTCAGCATGGATACAGGGGGCTGGATTGGCTTTTGCCAAACTTGCGTTACTTATGGTGTAGAAAAGATGTCCGTTAACCAACCAAAGAGGAGTCTACTGCGCAAAAGTTTGCTACTTCCTACTTTATAGGTGTCAAAAATTGCTAGCAAGAGTAAGGAAAATAAACGTAGTTTTACTAGTAGTCAGTCAGGTGTGTCTTCAAAGCATTAATGTTATATTCTGCGACCATGGAGTAACCAATGCTGGGGTAGGAAAAGGCTACTAGGTAAGGATGGCATACCAGTTGGTGGAGTAGTGAATCTTGATCATTTGAGGCGGTTGGAACATGTGTTACGTATGCCCAACTGTCAACCGCCTCGACGAGCGATGTTTTGTGATGTAGGTGTAGGATGGTAGAAAGCTAGGGATGGCCAGATCAAAGACTGAACTGAGCCATATTGGCAGGTGTAGACTACCAGGTTGGGGTCCTTAAGATGAATGACATGACTCAAAATCACTTCCATTGGTGCATCCATTCTTTGTCTTTTGTCATAACTTCATGAGATTGGGACCTTTTTTTAATCTCTTTAGATTTGTTTCATTGGATTATACCTCTTTGAATCCTTATCTTTTTGATTTCTCGTCAATACTTCAAATACCTCCAATACAGTGGGATTCTAATCGACAATTACATCTCTGTGCAGATGTGGTATGGCAACTTGCAGTGATATACGTACGTACGTACGAATTTCTATGTTGGATCTGACTGACTGACCGACTGAGTTTATATTTTTAATTTCAGTTGCTAATTACTATTCAGTAAAGCCAATCCAAGTACCCTTACTGATATCATTCCCGGTCTCTGAAAGAAATATCGATTACAAGAAATCATGAATTTGTTGATTATGAAAACATACACATCAGCTTTGCAGTTATGATGCTCATCTGACATTCTAGGCTAGATCGAGACAGAGATTTTCACTGATTATTATTAAAAAGTCCTATATGAATAGCAAAACCTGTTTCATGATGTTTTTATCAGTTTTGCAGCTAATATCAATAATTCATACAAAATAACATTGCCTATATTTTTACAATACATTTTTTTTTCCGGATAACGAATAATCATTTCATGAAAAAAATAATTGTAGTAGTAGTGTGGTGCGCGCTACTTATAAGTAGTATATGACGCGAGTGTAAAAGTAATCTCTGGCAGCAGAAGATGGGGGAAGATCAAGAAAGGAAGAGTGGGAACACAATAGAATTTGTATGAAACGCATGAATAGTGAAATGTCAGACAATGGATTGATGATGGATTGAAGATTTGCAAATTAACGGTTACGATATGGTTTTCCTATTTTACTGAGTAACTGTGTAATTTTCGTAAAATACAATTCGGTTGCCCTCACCTGTGTTCTCCTTCACTACAGTACTAGTAGTTTGGGAATAAAGTAAGCTTTCTATGACAGCGCAATGTTAAGTCGCATAAGACTGAAAATTTTATTGAAAACACATTGTATAAAATAATCATCTTACCAAGTGCACCTTGTTCAATATCGAAACGACTTGCTCCCGCAGAAAAGAAACAGGCGTTTGGATTTATTTCCTTGAGAATGGTGAAAAACAAAAAAAACAATACACTGTGAAAATATCTTGTATCATGCACGATGTACTAATGATTTTGGACAATTTAGTGAATGAAGTTTGTAGTTTTATGTAAGGTACTGACTATATTACCAAAGAAAGGCGATCTCAGTAAGTGTGAGAACTACAGAGGTATCACTGTTCTCTTAACACCAGGAAACTTCTTCAGTTGGGTATTGTTAAACAGAATGAAGGAGTTCGTAGACGCCAAACTACGAGATCAACAGGCTGGATTTCGTAAGGATCGATCATTTACTGACCATATTGCTACATTACGGATCATTGTGGAACGATCAATGGAATGGAACTCACCAATCTACATCAACTTCATCGACTTCGAGAAGGCATTCGATAGTGTGGATAGAAAAACACTGTGGAGGCTTCTTCGACACTACGGTGTGCCTAAGAAGATAGTTAACATCATACAGAATTCTTATTATGCATTCAACTGCAAAATCGAACACGAAGGACAGCTAACAGACTCTTTCGAGGTGAAGACCGGTGTGAGGCAATGTTGCTTACTCTCATCCTTTCTCTTTCTCCTGGTGATCGACTGGATTATGAAGAGGTCAGCATCTGGAGGGAAGCACGGTATTCAGTGGACAGCTAGGACGCAGCTGGACGACCTGAACTTCTCAGATGATCTGGCACTTCTATCACACACTCAACAACAAATGCAAGAGAAGACCACCAGTGTAGCAGCAACAGCCTCTGCAGTAGTAGGTCTCAACATACAAAAAGGAAATCCGAAATTCTTCTATGCAACACAACATGCACCAACTAAATCACTCTTAATGAAGATGCCTTGGAGGACGTTAACACCTTGACATATCTGGGCAGCATCATCAACCGTCAAGGTGGATCCGATGCAGATCTGAGGGCGCGGATTGGCAAAGCAAGGGCTGCATTTCTACAGTTGAAAAATATCTGGAACTCCAAACAACTTTCAACCAAAATCAAAATCAAGATTTTCGAAACAAACGTGAAGACAGTTCTACTGTACGGAGCGGAAACCTGAAGAACTACGAAAGCCATCATTCAGAAGATACAAGTGTTTATTAACAGTTGTCTACGCAAAATACTTCGGATTCGTTGGCCAGACACCATCAGCAACAACGAACTGTGGGAGAGAACAAGTCAGATTCCAGTGGAGGAGGAAATCAGGAAGAAGCGGTGGAAGTGGATAGGACATACACTACAAAAAGCACCCAACTGCGTCACGAGACAAGCCCTCACATGGAACCCTCAAGGTGAAAGGAAAAGAGGAAGGTCAAGGAACACATTCTGCGGAGAAATATAGAAAGATATGAAAGGAATGAACAAACATTGGACAGAACTGGAGAGGGAAGCCGAGGACAGAGTTGGTTGGAGATAACTGGTGGGCGGCCTATGCTCCATTGTGGGTAACAGGCGTAAGTAAGTAAGTAAGTGAGTAAGTACTAACTATATTAGTACAATAAATATCGCCAAACTAATCCACCTTAGGATTAAAACTGCAATATGAACTCGATCTGAATTAATAGTTTTAAATATATATATATATATATATATATATATATATATATATATATATATATATATAAGCCTACTAAAGTTGATAAAAAAACATTCAGTTAGGAAATACTTAAACCTTTTGAAAAGAAAACAAGCATATTGTGGTGGTGTTCGGTTCTCTGAGCTGGATGTTTTGGTTGTGGAGCTTTCATTGTTCTCCTGCTGAACAACATCATCAGCACAAACTTCTTCAGATAGATGTGAAGCATTCAGCTTCGTTTACGTGAGCACCAATTAGCATTCAAACGCCACGACAACGCTTCGCTTATATCAATACACACCGACATTTATGGACATACATTTGATTGGAACAATGTGGAAATACTGGGTAAGTGGAGGTCAAAGAACACTAGAGAATTTCTAGAAGCTTGGAACTCAGGTCAATTAGCAATTAACAAACACATCGAAATTGACCCAATTTACCCAACCAATCAGGAAAATCATAGGTGACACAGGATCAAGAAACAGATCAAAACGGGGATGCAATCAAAAGAAAGGTGCAAACAACGACAGGTTTAAGGTCAACAATACACAAACGTGGAGAAATTCGAATACTTCACTTCTATCTGAAGTTTGTGCCGACGCTGTTGTTCAGAAGAACAATGAAGGCTCCACAACGAAAACATCCAGCTCAGAGAATCAAACACCACCACCGCAATCATCTACCTGAGCTACAAATTTTCTCCACCATCTCAAACAGGCAGATTATTTAGAGAATAGTTTTTACTGAAAACATTTACAGAAAAATGGTTGTTGCTGAGTGATATGCTCGCCAAACTATATTCTTGAAACTATTACGAGTTCACCTTACTCGGTAAACGGAACGAAGATCAACGATGCAGTGACACGATAGGCTATTCTAATCCAATTGTCCCCGGCCCTGCTAACTAGATCAAGAAGTCTTGATAAGGCGTAGAGAATGTATTCTACAAGCACTCAGAAAAAATCAGGTGTCTAAGCACACAAATCGAGCTTATTTATACAATGATAGAAACACCCTTGGGAGAGCCACAAAATAGCGTACTAAAATGAATCCATCAACCAATGACAGTCAAAGATTTTCTGAGTATGAAATGTAAGCTGAAGGTCAAATGGTGCGAAAACATGGAAATTCATAATTTGAGACATAAATTACAAAGTTAGGATAACCTCAAACATAAACTAATCATTAGTGGATTGGTAATGAAATATTATTACTTACATGTGGTCGTTTCCATTCAAGTCTTTCTTTGAAACCTGGTATATTGCCAATTGCACTGTCATCAGCTGGAAAATCTGGATCTTCCCAAAGTTTTCGTTCAGCTTTTAAACGTGTAACCAGTGTTTCATATTGTTTACTTGCAACACTCATCATTAATTTCAACTTTAAAGATTCATATATTATAAATAACATTGACTGAAAATTTTCTTGACATATTTATATGTGTTTTAAGTAATTCAAATGATAATGAAAACAGTTAATGCTTTAGTGCGGAAAGTTATTTTTCACTTGAATTAACTTATTACATCATTGGCTGATGTTCTAACATTAGGTACATTGAATATTACTTATTAAATCTTATATTTAGACAGCAGTCTGAGTATTTTGTTTCGTAAGTATATTTTATATATAATCAGTATGCTAAAAAGACCTCATGTGTTCAAGTATTCATTTTTTTGACAAATGATAGTACCTAATTCCTATTTACACAATAACCTCTGATTATTTTCCAATTTGAAATCATCAATCAATCATTGTTAGACCACCATTAGAAACCTGGAAGCACTGGACGGCCGTTTCGTCCACGACTCCTGCACCTCGCAGGATTCGAACCCGGGACCTTCAGTATTGTGCGCGAACGCCTAACCATCGGACCACTGGGCCAGCATCCAACGGTGCTGATGTCTAACTCTGATTGATCTGGGGATTTTGCGCGATCTCACCCATTTGTCTTTGGTAGCAGTTACTGCCTACACCCGACAGGGTTGAAATCCATTGGTCACGTCTTCTCAACTATAACTCTGAGAATTTCCTCACGAAGCTAGTCGCTAGTGAGCAATTATTGATTGATGATTTGTTAGTGAATGTCTTGAAATCGGTGATACAGTTTAAAGACAGTTGTTCTCTTCCAAAATTAATATCATTTATAAAAGATCACTGAGAACTAGAAAGTACTGCATAAATGAAGACAGTTTTAGAGAGATTCATCATCATAGATGCATTATCGATTTAATAGTGTTGTGGTGAATTATCAACTAGTTTAACGATTAACTTAAGTTCTCTGTTGATTGATTTTTCATCTTACTTTTTAGTCGGGCATCTCAGCTCATAGAAAAAATATATTTGAACAAATAAGCACTTTCAAATGAATCAAAGTGACTCCAGTTTCGCCTTTGTAATTGACTTATAATCAATAGAAAATGCATAATGATTATTACACATTTTTGAAACCATGAATCGATCAATGTTAGACCACCATTAGAAACCTGGAAGCACTGAAACACGACCGTTTCGTCCTGGTATGGGACTCCTCAGCAGTGCGTGACCAGTGAAGTTCAGACTGTTCGGGTGTAGACAGTAACTACCGAAGACTGTGTATGAGGTTGCGCAACTCCGTGAATTGATCAAGTTAGACATTAACACCGTTAGGTACTGGCCCAGTGGTCCGATGGTTAGTTGTTCGCGCACAATACCGATGGTCGCGGGTTCGAATCCTGCGAGGTGCAGGAGTCGTGGATGCTCACTGCCACTGTGATGAGTCCCATACCAGGAAGAAACGGCCGTCCAGTGCTTCCAGGTTTCTAATGGTGGTCTAACACTGATCGACTCATGGTTTCAACACTGTGTAACTTAACAATCTTCCCAACCTCGTAATGCTAGTTATTATTAGTTTATACTACTACCTACAGGGAATTCCTTGCATCTTAGTGTATCGATCTTGTGCTATTTCATTTTTTGTCATAAATGTTGTAATTTATTCTGATTTTAACAAGAATACTCAAAATATAAATGTATATATATCTCTTATCGAATACATAATAAGAATGATGTTGAATATCTTTGAACAGTATTTTGAAAAACAAACTTTCAAATGAATTTCAAGTTTATGCACAATAAAAAAGAGTCAACTAACTGACTGATAACAATACCACAATACAACATACCTTAGCATATCCTTTTGGAGTAAGTGTTTTAGGAAGGTATGGATTGAATTCCATACGTTTTGGACCTTTGATAGGTTTCAGTACATTCACTAAAATTATTAACAAGAAAGAAACAAAAAAACAAAACATTTTTCCTATTAATGAATAATGCTATTCAGTGTATACATTTTAATTGAATAGATAAACGATATTGAACGATTGTCTACAAGGGAACTACTAGGTAGCATCATGCAGATATCAAGTTTGTACTATTTGAATATATTCTTTTAAGTCTTTTTAAAGCACGCATTGAATGATGCTTTAACTCCAAACTGAGTTTTATTCGTAAACTTCTTTATCCATCGATATCATTGATTTGTGAAACAAAACGTGATAGCTGGATTGAATTAATTAATTTGATGCGTATATTGAATTTTCAGATATTAAAAATGTTTAATTTTTTTTTAGTTCTTAGATGGTTATCGGGACTCAGTTCATACCACCCATAAAAGTTGCTTTGAGTAGATATGGTTTGTGTTTAGATTGAATTGTCTTTTGATATTTGTCTGTTTATTGAATATATATATATATATATATATATATATATATATATATATATATATATATATATATATATATATATATATATATACATATATATATATTTGTCGAGACTTATAGGGGTCTCCGTTATTTCATAGTTGATGATTAAGATTGAATATTGATCAATTTTTATTTAGATGTGTACATACGTCGAAAATTGGCTCAATATGGATTTTTTTGTTCCAAATTTTGGTTTATTTAATTTGTGGTTGATAATAGAGTACCGATACTGTAAAGATCAACGAATTCAAGTTAGCCCTCACCAATAGGTTCCAGGCTTTTCAGGATCTACTCAATGGAGAGGAAGCAACATTGGAGAACAATTGGAAAGGGATTAAGGAGGCAATCACTTCAACATGTCACGAAGTTCTGGGTCACAAGAAGTACCATCATAAGGAATGGATCTCTGTTGATACTCTTGCAAAAATTGAAGAAAGGAGGAACAAGAGGACAGTAATCAATGTCAGCAGAACAAGAACAGAGAAAGTTACCGCACAAGCTGCATACACAGAAGCAAACAGGGAAGTGAAGAAGAGCATCAGAGCTGACAAACGTAAATATGTGGAAGATCTAGCAATGACGGCGGAAAAGACTGCAAGAGAAGGAAACTTTAGACAATTGTACGAAACAACAAAGAAGCTCACCGGGAACTATCGTAAACCAGAACGACCAGTGAAAAGCAAGGAAGGCAAAGTAATCAGCAACACTGAAGAACAGCGAAATAGGTGGGTAGAGCACTTTCAGGAGCTCCTGAATCGACCAGTTTCACTGAACCCACCAAACATCGAGGCAGCATCCAAGGACCTCCCAATTAATACTGGCGCACCTACGATTGAGGAGATCAGTATGGCCATCAGACAAATCAAGAGCGGCAAAGCAGCAGGACCAGACAACATTCCAGCAGAGGCAATGAAAGCAGATGTAGAAGCAACTGCGAAAATATTTCACAACCTCTTCAAGAAGATTTGGGATGAGGAACAAGTACCATCAGATTGGAAAGAAGGATACCTGATCAAAATACCAAAGAAAGACGATCTGAACCCTCTAATGGAACCCTCAAGGTAAAAGGAAAAGAGAAAGGCCAAGGAACACATTACGCTGAGAAATAGAGAAAGATATGAGAGGAATGAACAAACATTGGACAGAACTGGAGAGGGAAGCCCCGTAGAGAGTTGGTTGGAGAAAACTGGTGAGCGGCCTATGCTCGATTGTGGGTAACAGGCGTAAGTAAGTAAGTAATGGAGTACCGAACTCTCATGTTTTTGTCCTGTATGAGTTCGGTCAGTTTGGTATACTTGAGTCGCAGTGTTGTGTTTATACTAAGATTCAAACTCCTTTACACCATGCTTTCAACACCAATAGGTTTCATTGTGAATATCAGCATAACGAACGATTGAGGTATGTTGAGCGAACATTGGAATGAAACATGTTTTCTGAGTTTCATTGTCATTGATCATTTAACTTATCTAAATTGTGTACTCATTTAAATATTCTTCTTTTATTTAAAGTGTTTAAGTTCTGTGAATATTTTTTTTCTGCTATAAACTTATCAATGAATCTGTTGTTTGTTAATTATTTGAAATTGATCAAATCCATCATACGTATGCTTGCCATAAATTTTTATTAAGTAGATTTCAGTAGTAAATTCATTCAATCATAATTTGTAACATCTCAACCAAAAATACATTTAAACAATTTTTTCAAATCCCAAAATATCAGCCCCTCAAACTAATATGTATAGGATAATGTTCTAATCGTCAGTAAATCAGTGAATTTATGTCAAATGATTTTCATTTTAAGACTTCACTCATGATGCATGATTAGGATTATGTTAAACAATGTTTGATATTTTAGATTTGATAAAGACTATGGGGATCAATCAGATAATTATTATCATGATAAATCATCGTCGTTAAGCAAATGAAACCAAATCATTGCTTCGATTTAACTTGAAAAATCCTAGTGTGGTGCGCGCTACTTATAAGTAGTATATGACGTGAGTGTAAATGTAATGTCTGGCAGCAGAAGATGGGGGAAGATCAAGAAGAATGGAAGAGTGGGAACACAATGGAATTTGTATGAAACGCGTGAATAGTGAAATGTCAGACAATAGATTGATGATGGATTGAAGATTTGCAAATTAACGGTTTACGCGATATGGTTTTCCTATTTTACTGAGTAACTCTGTAATTTTCGTTAAATACAGTTCGGTTGCCCTCACCTGTGTTCTCCTTCACTACACTAGTAGGTAACAGCTATGACTTCATAAGGAGTGCAAAACATTTTTTCTGAAATATTCACTTAACCTACGTGACGAAAATGCCTTTGAAAATAATGACTGGTAATAATGTACTTTGACAATGATGATTTTCCATAGAATTACATGAAAGGTCAAGATCTCTGAAGTCGACTATCCCCTTAAAAAGTAGGATAGTTTTTTTTAACTGACTGAATTAAATGATAATATGTTTTGTAAAAACACGATTTTAGGGATACTGAAAAATGTGGACGATTGGATATTATTGGCCCAATGGATAAATAATGGTGGTTGGCACATGTGTTGCGTATGCCTAACCACCGACTGCCTCGTCGAGCTTTGTTTTGTAGTGTAGCAATAGGTTGGAAGAAAGTTAGGGGCGGCCAAACCAAAACATGGCACAAATCCATGAAGTCATTGACGAGTGGACTTGGCCATGTCTTTAGTTTTCGACTACCTGGTTGGGGTCCGCGAGATGATAATGATCGATGGTTAGAGACACTGAATGACATGGCTCAAAATCGTTCGCAATGGCGCCGGTGAATTTATTCTTTGTGTTCTATCAAATACTAATCTTCTGGATTCTTCAACACCTCTAGTTTTGACTTTCTAAACTTTTCTCACTGAATCATGCTTCTTGAATATTATCTTCTAATCCTGACCTCTCCGACTGCTTCTAATACCTTTACTACCTCTTCTACTATTGGATTAGAATTGATAATTACATCTCTGTGTTGATGTGGTATGGCAACATGAACTGATGTACTTACGTACGAATTTCTACGTTGCATCTGACTGACTGACTGACTGACTGACTAAATAATAACTTTTCAGCTTGGAACTCCCTGATTTCAGCCTCCATAGATAGATAGATAAGCACACCTTTGAAGAGGTGTACACTACAAGAGATCAGCTACTTAAAGCCTATCAACTTTCTAAAGATTTTTGATCCGAATATGTAATGATATTTACCAATAGTTCAGTAGCATTTGCTGATCAGAACTTAAGTTTACACACACAAACAAGGCAAGAGAATGATGCACAAATGAGTAGTCAGTTAATCATTGTCAAAGCAAATTTATTACAATAAGCATTAGAGTGATTTTTATTTAAATAAAACATTTACTCTTATCATTTCTGTGGATAATGCATTATTCACATGTTATTGCAATAATACTCGTGAATTTTGTTCAAAACTGTAAAATTAATTATTATTAAGTAATCAAATTTTAATTAAATGTACACTGATAACCAGCTGATTAAACATTATAAAAAAAATATCATTTTATAATAGAGTGAAGTAATTTTTCAAGAAAAAAATTTAATGAAAATGTTTCATGAAGTAAAAAAAATTTATCTGAACAGTAATTATTGAAAAAAATATTAAGAAGAAAATTACTTCATTTGTGTAGATAACATAACGGGGTTGTGAAGATTGTTAAGTTACATAATCTTTGAAACCAGGAATCGATCAATGTTAGATCACCATTAGAAATTTGGAAGCACTGAAAGACGGCCATTTCGAATGGGACTAATCAGCAGTCCGCATGAACGACTCCTGTAACCCACAGGAATCGAACCCGGGACCTTCGGTATTGTGCGCGAACGTCTAACCTCTGGGCAACTGAGACGGTATCTAACGTCCATAGCTTTCAGGTTTCTAATTATGGTCTAACATTGATCGATTCATGGTTTCAAGAAATGTGTAACAGACCTAGTTAAAATGTGCTCACTAGTGACTAGATTCATGAAGACATTTTCAGTGTTCTAATGAGAAGCGATAACCGGTGGAGTTCAACCGTGTCAGCTGTAAGGTAGATACTCAATGATGACAGTGAATAAGGTCGCGAAATAGCATGGATTAATTAAAATTAGACATTAACATCTTTGGATAACCGGTTTCAGTGGTCTAGAGATTTGACGTTCGTGCGCTAGACTGAAGGTCCTGGATTTGATTCCCGAATATGAGGGTCGTAAATTCGCACTGCTGATGAGTTCCGTACTAAGACGAAACGGCCATTCAGGCTTTTTAGGTTTCTAATGGCGGTGTAACAATGGTTAATTCATTATTTCAATGATTTAATCTCAAAACTTTATTAGTTGATAACTATTAAAACAGAGTAAATTTTATCTTAATTAGATAACTTTAAATATCTGTGTGACTTAAAAAGGGGGACTTGTTTCACTATTTTCTCAAATAGTCTACTGGTGTACAAGTTAGTTACTAGAACATTTTAATTACTTTTACATAATGAATAGTAATAAATTGAAGTAGATAAGTGAAGTATATCATTTATTATTTGACTTCACTACAGTTGTTCAAATATTTTCATGTTTGATTTTATTTTAGAGTAAAAATTTTTAACATCAACATTCACAGTTATATAGTTCAATGAAGAGGATAAGTTTATGAACAAAAAATCGATTCCATTGATGAGAATATGCACAGTTTTTGTAGAGTTATTCTAATCAACTATTGATATCATATGGATAATTGTCAGCTAGATCTGAATGACTACTTTTTCAGCACCCTTGAACAGTTGAGTGGACGAAGAATAGAATGAATGAAATAGAAAACATCTTAATTCAATGAATGAACCTTGGATTCCTCACAATGTGATTTCATAGTCTTGGATTAAAGTTTGTTCTATGGAAATGTATACAGAATGCTATGGAGAATGTTACTGAATTATATTGTGTTACATTTCTTTTTATCTTTATAATGAATATGTGAAATCATTTACTGTGAATTAAATTTAAAAAATAACTTTGCCTGGAGGAGCCCTTCTGAGATTATTTTCGGTGTCAAGCCAGGGGATAAAGAAGAAGGGTTGGGTCATGCATGGGGTTAGACACCCCATCCGGTAGAAAAGTTAATCTCGTTAACGAAACATTAACTAGCCAGAAGATACAAGTGTTTATTAACAGTTGTTTACTCAAAATACTTCGGATTCGTTGGCCAGACACAATCAGCAACAACCTACTGTGGGAGAGAACAAGTCAGATTCCAGTGGAGGAGGAAATCAGGAAGAAGCGTTGGAAGTGGATATGACACACACTACGAAAAGCACCTAACTGCGTCATGAGACAAGCCCTCACATGGAACCCTCGAGGTGAAAAGAAAAGAGGAAGGCCAAGGAACACATTCTGCCGATAAATAGAGAAAGATATGAGAAGAATGAACAAACATTGGACAGAACTGGAGAGGCAAGCCCAGAACAGAGTTGGTTGGAGAAAACTGGTTATTGGCCTATGCTCGATTGGGTGTAACAGGCGTAAGTAAGTAAGAAAGTAACTAGCCAGAACACTAACAGTAATATAAATTGCTATGTTGAAAAATAATACCTTTCCACTAAGACTATAATACTGTGAGACATTCAAATCATACTATTACTTGTAAAAGACCTCAGGCTTACTGTTATGCAATTTTCTAAGTAGTCATAAATTTGAATGAAGAAAATTCCTAGTACAAGCCTAGTTTTTTTTAATAGTTCGCCATTTTACATGAGTTTGAGATAAAAATCATTATACACAGAAGTATTTGTATAAACTACAAAACCTTTTTGTGGAGAAAATATTCAATTTGAATTGAAAATCAATGTTTCGAAATACACACACACATACTAATTATTATTCCATTATCAATAAACAATATGAAACGTCAATTGAAAAATTTGTATTGACAACACTTACAGTAATCATCTGGTGTCTCACGTCTCACTCGGATTACTTTTCCAGTACGTGGATCAACGACTTGTTTACCAGGATGGTTGATTCGTCCAGACACATTTTCATCAGGAGAATAAACCTACAATGGAAATGCATTTTACGAATGCGAATCAACATAATAACAGCATTTTGATCACTATACAACAAATGGAAACACAAAATACGAACATGATCTTCGTGATCTTCATCAATGTCCGAAGATATGGATGAAGATGATGATGACGATGATGGCGTTGAAGAATAATACTGTTCATAGTATCTCATTTTGAAAAATGATTATTCCTCTTAAAAAGCTCTTATAAAACTAAACACACACCCACCCTTATATATGTAAGCCAAGATATGATTTACACGGGATTAAATGCCTTATGAATCACAGAGCATGTATTTGTCGAATGATATGCAAATTAATTATCCTTATAAAACTACTACTACTACTCAAACTTATTATCACAATAATACATTATTGATCAATGAGAAAATCGGGATACTACTTAATTAAATATCATCATCACTTACAATTTGTATTCGTCCCATTTTGTATTATGTAATAGAGATGATGATTAATCAAAATTGTAGATTGTTTCAAGCTTTTTATATATTTATATATATGGGTATATATATTACCGACAATTGAAATAGAGTTCGCTCAGTTAAATTCAACTTGAATAATTGGCAATAAATGTACTACTACTACTACTAGTAATATTTCAAATTGTTTTCATCTATCTATATTACTACTGACGCACCTGTTTTTTACTTTTTCTCTCAATTACACACACACACACACAAGCACACATAGATATATGCATATATGCACTCATATATATATACTTTTGTTTAAGCCTGTATCACTATTCACTGTAGAGAGAGATATGCTCTTATTTTTTTTCAATGGAAAACAATGGCAAATCTACTTTATTTATTGATCTTTGTGTGCATAGGTATACAGTGCAAAATCAGTGTTTGTATGCTCAGTTTAAGTCAGTAAAGATTGGTTGAATTTTTCTCATTCTCTAAGCACACAGGCACAATGTATGATGATGAAGATGAAAAGAAAAGAATCACAAATTGTGTTGTGTGTACTTCAGTGAATGAATGAATGAATGCATCTCTCTTGGCTGCGTTGTGCGTTTGTTGTAGACAGGATAGTAGGGTGTATTTGAATAAACTAATCTATGTTGACTGTACAAAGAATGTGTAACTAACTATTATTAGGCTGTGAGTCAATGAATCCGTCAATTCTAAGTACAGAGATACACATATATATCTATCTCTACATATTGTTCTCTTTCCTTTTCGTATATTTTCTATGTAGCATTCAAATATATCTAAAATGTTTTGTTGTGTAAATAATAATATTTATTTTCAGTTTAAAAAAAAATAAAATTAACTCATTTTTTTCAATAAAAATTCTAAGAAAAAATAGTTCCATACAGTCAGTCAGTCAGTCCACATTAGAAAATGATATTGACTGAATGAATTGCAAATGTTTTACGAGAGATATTGATAGTGTGATCAATACATTGGTCTATTGTTATCGTGTAAAATTGTTCGCATAATTAACTGAGTTATTTTCAAAGCATAATGATTTTTATTGTAAATTAAGTTTGTAGAATTTTTTGATTTCTGATGTTAAAATGAATGAATGTTTCGTCTATCTGAAGTAATTAGAATTTATCTGATTGAATTCTAGAGATTATTATTTTAACTGTGAACGCTTGAATTTACTTCACCGATTCAGATACTACTTACTGATAAATACTGTATATTTTGGGGCAGAGTTTTGGAGATTAGTGTTTTCATACATTTGAAATCAACAATCAATCATTGTTAGACCACCATAAGAAATCTGGAAGCACTGAAACACTGGTATGGGGCTCATCAGTGTCAGGGAGCATCCACGACTCCTGCACCTCGCAGGATTCGAACCCTGGACCTTAGGTATTGTGCGCGAACTCCTAACCATCGGACCACTGGGCCGGCGGCAACCAACGATGAGTCCCATACCAGGAGGAAACGGCTGTCCAGTGCTTCCAGATTTCTAATGGTGGTCTAATAATGATTGATTGATGATTTCAAATGTGTAAATACTGTATAGTAAATAGTATGGTCTGTTATTTTATTCGATGACCAACCATTCACTGAGATCACTCACTGGTTAAATTTCTTCATTGTTTATTTCGCTCAATATTTTCTGGTTTTTGAAATGACATACGTTTTAGTGAGATGCGAATTACTGTATACACTGTTTGTGGACATAGTCTTCAGAGTGGTGGGCAGTTAATTCTGAGAACTAACTTACTCTTCAGTCGATTGTTAAACTGATCAACAGTAGTATAATACAAAGCAGGTTATTTTGAACGTCCTAATTCTCTCCCACACAAAACAACAAATGCAGATGTAGAAGACCAGTGTAGCAACAGACTATGACACAGTCAGTTTCAACATACACAGCGGGAAATCAAGCTCTTCAGATGCAACACAACATGCAGCAAACAAATCACACTTGATGTTGAAGCTTTGGAAGATCGGGAAACTTTTATCTACCTGGATTAATACACACACACAACAATCACGATAAGTTCGTGTTCCTGTAAAGTAATTGAACAACCCGAGAAGAAATGGTGAAATATGAGACCCACCATCTCTAAACTAAATGAATGCGGTTTTATTTACCCTCAGGTTCTATAAGATATTAAAGGAGCTTACTTATTTGTTCTGGTTATCATTTTTTTGGCAAGTTAGTTTTTTGACGGGATGGGGTCGCTAACCTTATGCCCAACCCTCCTCCTTTATCCGGGCTTGGGACCGGCAGTAGCCACGAAGGGTCTACAGGCGGAGTTATTAAAGGAGCTAATCGTTTGTTAATTTCCAGATAAGTGAAAGAAATAGATTCTATTGAGTTTCTAACATGTTCATGATTTCGAACTTTATGTTATTTAGAAGTTTTTAACTATTTACAAATTAACTACCAAAAAGATAGATGACAGTTTTTTGAAATCACTTATAAATGTTTCATTATGCAAAATCTAAGGAATGTTAATTCTTCATAAATGTTTTTCAGGCAATAAGTTCTTTTAATATGATGGAAAATTATCGATTAAAAGTAATATTTCTGCAGACCAGTGAAATATAAGTCAGTCATATATTATCGTAGTAAAAGATATGGATGGTTTAAAATATGTTTGGTTGAAATTTAGTCGACTAAGCCTTCGTTGACATTAAATTTAATAGTAAGTTGATATGCCTGAAACTATTACGAGTTCACCTTACTCGGTAAACGGAATGAAGGTCACCGATACAGTGACACAATAGGCTATTCTAATGTGATTGTCCTAGGCCCCGCTAACTAGAGAAAGAAGTCTTGATCAGGCGTAGAGAATGTATTCTAGAGGCAACGAGAAAGTACAATAATAGAAACGCCCTTGGTGAGAGCCATTAGATGGTGTACTGAAATAATCCATCAACCAATGACAGTCAAAGATTTTCTGAGTGTGAAATGTAAGCTGAAGGTCAACTAAGCGTCATTGGCGCGAAATCATAAAAATTCGTAAATTTTAGAATAAATTACAAAATTAGGACCTTTTCCGAGTGAGTTCTGGGGATCTAACGTCCCCAACAAAATAAAACAACGTCAAGTTGCAAAGATATTTATGTAAGATACTGATTTGAAATTCACAGTGAGATAAAGTAGCATTTAACTCAGCTGATGACGCTGAACAGCATTTATCGATCGTTTTAAAAAACAGCAAAATCAAGTATAATTACAATTATAATAATCTTTACAAAATTTTCAAAGTAACCGATCTAAATATGAGCTTGTGATTTGATAAATTATACCAACAGTATCTACAACACTATTGGTCAAGGGGAAGTTATCTCAGTTTGAGTATCTTACCAGGGTAAGTAGGAGATTCCTATGATCATGTTTGTTATCTGTACAAACAGGAATGACAGATGAGGAGTGCATCAATCACTATTTTGTGGTCATTATATTTGAGTTGTTTGTCAACACGTGCATAAAGCGGAGTTATTTCAGTACAGATTACTAGGTCACGTGTGTTATTATGCTTTATTGGTATGTGAACTATGGTGGCCAGCATTGTATATCATGTCATTAAGAGTTATTGTTATGACTAATCATAAAAAGTATTCTAATTTATTCCAGGGTAATCAACAGCTCTTGTAATGACTTTGTCAGTTAAATTCAAACATGTATAAATGCATCGTTTACAATAATTGTGGTGTCTGATACTCTGTATAAATGGAACTGTGTTAATTGAGATTCAGGTAAACTACTTAGAACACTATCTCCCAATTTTTGTTTTAGTTATGTAGCACTTAAATGCTGTTTAGAACCCACACCTTCTAGGTTTATCTACACTGTTACAGCTTATAGACAAAGTGGTTCTGCATAGTTAATTCTGAATCAGAACCTGTGTAAAAAAGCATGATTGTTCAGTGACATGTAAGAAACATAATGTGACTTGTAAAACTATATATGATCCTCCAGGTTAAAACTACTCATGTTTTAATAGGTAATCAGTTTATCAAACACTTAAAGAATGTATCTAGTTCATCGTTCTATAACATTGGCTTTCTAATTGGCTTACTGACTTTCACCTTGAATCAGCAGACAGTTAAAAGACACTATTCACTTGGCTTTTCATATAAGCTAATCAGCCTAGCCTACCTTACTGTCTAAATCATTATGAATAGAAACCTTCATTTTAGATATTCGTCTGACTCTCTACTCTCTACTATCCGCTCTCTCTCTGGTATAATTTAGAGATGGTGGGGAAGATTTGTAGCTCATCAGATGGATGATTGTGGTGATGGTGGTGATGATGTTTGGTTCTTTGAGCTGAGGATGTTTTTCGACTGTGGAGCTTTCATTATTGTTCTTCTTCTGAACAACATATGATTTCAATTTAAATTGTATTACTGCATATAGTACATATATTAAGAAAAAAGTCAATAATAAATCACTCTGTAAGTAATAAATAGTTCATTAAATCATTTTTCAATCCAGTCAGTCAGTCATTCATTGTGTTAGATTTGAATATAAATAACTTGTGATGTGAAAAAACACCAACAACACCAACACACAATTCAATTCAGTCATTCAATCTTTTATTTGCATAATAATAGAATAAAGAAGAATAGATATATATATATATATACATATTTTGTTTCGAATAAAGTTTTTATGAGAAACTATTGTTGTCTACAACAAATCAATAACGTTTTTTTATGATGATAATCATATCGCTTTTTTTTTTTAAAGTCTTCAACGTTCGTTTACAAGTAATTAAAACAGAAACGTATTATTCTAATCAATGCATTAATAAAGTACAAACTAAAACACTTTTATTCATAATGGAATGTTTTGATTGATTAAAAAAAAACTTGCAAAAAAAAGAAATAATTTTTTACTCTAAAGTACTATTTACTAATTCATTCATTTTTTTTCTTCATAAATAATAAATGCGTTAGTATTGATTATCAGATGATAATAATAATAAGGTCTATTGTTGTTGTTGTTGGTAATTTCATATTTGACTACAAGTGATAATTTTGTAGAGATTAGTAATCAGTCAGTCAGTCAGTCAGTCAGTCAGATGCAACGTAGAACTTCGTACGTAAGTACATACATCAGTTCATGTCACCATACCACATCAGCACAGAGATATAATTGTCAATTCAAATCCAATAGT